TTCGTCTTTCGTGGACTGTGTCTCCATAGTAACCAAGCGACTTCACAATGACAACAATCGTTCTGTAAGTGTCCAAAGTTTCTTTGTGAGGCGAATGGAGTTACATAACGTGTCAAGATATGACAAAAACGGGCTCACCTAACATGTTTTTCTGATAACAAATAAGTCATTACCGTATCCCAATCAAATTTACGCAACGCTGTCAAAATCTCCCAATGCCTGCGATCCAAACTGCGCAAAGAACAGAGGGTCTATAACAGAAGTAATAGGGAACCCACTGCAACTACGTCAGCATGTTGTTCAATTTGGGTGCCAGAGAAAGCCACAAGTGGTGTTCCAGTTGGGGGTTTGATACAACGAAGTTATTGTGACACCTGAAGGTTTAAATTGTCCGATATCCCCTTGACATTCTTGGTGTCAATAAGCGCGTATTCTCACGTGACCAGGCGGCCGATTGCTTTATTCTCATAAGCTAAGGGAATCATCACGAATGTGATCTTAATCCTTGCGATGTGAACTGCCTCATCATGTTTAGGCGTCCTACAACATCCAATTTATTCTTCTTGGGTTAAGAGTGTGTCGACCTTTGTTTCCTCAACAATTCTGCAAGCCTACCTCGTGCTTCACTAGCCGATGCGAACGGCATCTACAGCTCAACGCATTTTATTGTCTCTACCGATTTTAAGCGCTTCCAAGAGATGCTGAAATTCAGACACTTTGTAATATCGATTTTTCTAACTCGTCTATCAGACACAATGTGAACAGCAATGGTTGGTGAAAGACTTTGTCAGCACGTGGTGGCTGAACCAATGTGTGGGGCGTTGCCGATAAATCATTTTTAGGCGTTTAGATATGCTGATGTGCCGCGTTTTGGAGCAAGAAACTGGTCGTTCTCGTGCAAGTTGCACTACTTTGGAGCACACATCAATGGAGCAAAGTGGATATCATGTTGCCTGATCCGAAAACGAAAATCTAAAGACAAAAGAGCAGCGGCTAATCCTATGAAGCACAAGACTTCTAGGAGTAGTGTATGCAGCCTTAGCCTTAGCGATCGAGGAATTATACCGACATCCCACACTGAAAATTCAGTTATTTTTCCGGTTGGCTAGGCTTCTTTGCAAACAACTTTTGACAAGTCATTTTGAAGGAGGACCTAAAGAGTTCGGCATAGTGGGTTGTCAGTCATTTATTCTCCTCGGTGATCAAAGCGTCGGATAGAATCAGACACTATGTCCGATGTGTAGTCACTAACATTTCTACCATGAGCCAACAACCCACAGCGTCTTAACCCTTTCAACCTCTTCGCACTCACTTCAGAGGTGGCTCATCACTACCATTCGGTGTTTTCTGACTGTGGAAATACAAAACCAGAGAGTGATAACTATGCTACCAGATCTTCTAGATCCTAGTGCGCTTATTTCGGTGACCAACATTCAACCGTATCAGTGACGTCAGCGAATAAAGTCTGATAGCAAAAGATTTCATCAATGAGACCAAATCGCGAAAAGTAGGGATATTCACATTCATGTTCAACTCAAGTCCAGATAGGCACTAGTTCCTACAGACTGGAGTTTACTGTATCGTCATGTAGGCCTTCATTTTCCAGTTCCTTCAAAAATTTACCAAATTGGCATTCGGCCACCTTCAACCAAGAGCAGAAATGCTGTAGATTCGTTCAGTTTAGAAAAGAGTTTCGGAATGTTAACAAGAGTTTATTATCATGTAACAAGGTGATTTTGTCGTTTGGTTTTAATACAGTGAATCGAAAACACCATCCGACTGGGTAAGTACAGACCGCCAATCATACACTTGTGCACTTTGTTATGCCATAGTTCACAAACATTTTGCAGAGGGAATTGTCTGTAAGATTCGTATTATGATGAGTGCACGCGTTAGCAGGCCTAAGTTAGATGTTAGCACTTCAAGTTCATAATAGAAAGGTATATACGGTAGAATGAGTCACTGTAACAAAAATGAACGACAAGAACGGCAGCAGGTTCCGTCCTGTGTCATTTCTCATAAAATGTTCGGTCAAGAGCATTCGTTATCACGATGTTTCAGACGAACAGTCAGCAAGACCCAATTTAAGACGTACCATACATCATATTGCACATTCATGTCAATGGTTGGTCTTTTCGCACTTAATCTGACTTACCCGGGTAGTAGCGGTCGTCTGCTAGTGAGAAATTGCCCACGCCGGTGAAGTCTATGCAGTACGATCACCAATTATAATCCAGTATTGCTGTAGTTCTGTACTGATGTCGTCATATGTGGTACATTAGCAATGATGACTTAATGCAGATGGTCTTTGGATTTCTGGCGGACGCAGCGAACACATTTCACATCTAAAGAAGGGTATGGTGCCGGTGGAGGCGTTGTGAACTCGTCCCCTCAGAAGCAGTCCAATATACGATTGAGTATCATATACCACCCTTATCTTCACATTATGGGAGACCATTTCTGTGGTCGGTACCAGTAGGGGTTTTATATCCAGAGTACATAAAGCAGCTCAAAACCCAAAAGGGCTTATTTATGAGTCAAAGTACGTATGGCTATAGGTCCATCCAATGCCTGATTGATAAGAAGTACATACCATAGTTGCTGACTCCAACAAAAGATTACTGATTTATTCTACTGGGCTTGTGCCAATAGGGCATGGTCTTGGCTACGTCCTGGCTGCGGCAATATATTTTCAACTTATTCGCTTATTTGAATATACCGAAAGGTCTGTTAAGAGGTGTAGTTATTCTCCTATCCCTGCCGGGAAAATGAGCTGCAAATTCACCAAAGTTTGATCACTCAGACCAATGCGGTTGCTACCACTAGCAACATTTTCGAAGCAGACAAGATGGAAAAACCACAGTATGTGAAATTTCGAGTTGCCGTGGTCTTACGAGAGCGCTTCCATATGGGACGATTGGAATAAAAACCCTTTCGTTTAATGGAAACTTTGGATGCATTGGGGGGAATGCAGAACCAATAAAAACTAGAATATTATCTTTCAGTGATTGGGGATAAAAAATGCGGAGTAATGCTCATTCGTACGCGTAGACTTGGTTAGCCCTAAATAGCGTTTCGTTCCACCTAAAAGAACAGAACGGCACTGAGTTCTATGCGGATAAGATCTAAATTAATTTAGACTGAACAACCAACCGCATTACGCTGAATGTGTTGGGAATCCGTAAGCTCTAACTTAAATGAGAATGTAGAAAGTTGAAAACCGGGGCCTCCATAGTGTTTCAACCACTAAAATGGGCCTATCTATGTGGTTATTTGGAATTTCACCCGAAATTCAGTCAGTTAGGATTTCTAATGAAGTGCTTGCATGGACCAAACCGTTCCGACTTTGTTGGCCTGGAAGCTTATGGATTGTGATTAAATTCATCGGAGTTATATAAAAGTAATACACGAACAGTCCCGGGTATTGCATCAATTTTGACAATAGTTCTCAGATGCATCTTACCACTCTGATGAGTTAGGACATGGAATTGAGTAGAGGACATCTTCGAATGCTTTGAATTCGACTCTGCTGAAGAATGCTGTAATGTCACATGCTATAAAGCCTATGTGAAACAACTTTAGCAACTGCTGATAAGAGGCTACTAATGATGATTAGTCGATAGATATTTTATCCGAAGTTCGACCCGTCTAGTGAAGCAGAATTATAATACAGTGGGACGCACTATTGTTTACTAACAGATCTGCCCACTCACAAAATCCAAAGATAAGCCCGACGCAATGTTCAATCACCCTTTCTTTTAGTCCTATGGACAGGATTTCCTAAGTCAAACGCAGAGACATTATCCAAAAGCGTTGCAGTATCATCGGCTATTAAGCTTCAGTATAGAACCTCCGGTTGGTGGACACTGTTCATTCAGTTAGTCGCAAAACTGGGTTAGTAGCCATGTACTGAACACCTCCACACCAAGTAAAGAGATACAAAGTAGAGATACAGAAAAGGGCTGACAGCGGTGTCTGATACCACAAATATGCGCTTGTTTGAACCTGCACTGCACGTTCAGAAAAAATGCTTTTGGAGGATTAATCGTGACCTTGGTCCACAACAGCCCCTCCACGTCACGTTAATAACGCCATAGTTGACAAGAAAACGTGACTGCTGAATCAGACAGGCATGACTAGGACAAGCTGGCATTCCCCTAACCGTTATAATCCCTTATGAGTAGTTCTTGTATTCTATCATTTTAAGTGGGTGTATTCTGGATACTTTTTAATGCTACCTAGCTACTGTTTCTCAACCATAATAGCCATTCGATGAATTTGCCGAGAACGCTACTTTGCTTACAAAAACTGTGTTCTGTATTTTACAGAATCCCATAATCTTTCGAAACCAGAGAAGAGACGGGATAGGTGGATGTGCATCTCATTGTCTGAGTCTTGTAAAGAATGAACTCCCAGTTAGCGAAAAAATTAATCTTCGAAGTCATAACCTGCTTTGCCTTGTCCCGTGAAAACACACGTGCAGATGAGCTAATCTCTTTCGACCTTATTATTGTACAGGTGATGATAGCCATAATATAACTCAGAAGACATGTGCACTAATAACAGCTTTACTATGGCTTACAGTAGTTTACAGTAGCGAGTTGCATTACGTGTAAAATAAATGCAATGCGAAAGGTGGAGCAAGTCAGAAGGGGAACTTATCGTTCGTTAGAGTTCCTGGGTGAAAGTTCGGACGGCGGGAACATGTTTCCCCCGCAGTATAGCTGCTACACATGTTCCGTGATTGTCCGTGGACTTGAAGAGTTTGGTTGACTCCCTGCCCCCTGCACGCGCGAATGTGTGTGATGACCATGTCGTGTTGTCCTATATATAGGAAGGTTTGACGCGTATATAATACCTAGAGTCGTTCCGATGTGTACAAGACGGGTCTAGGTCTTGGAAAGCGGGACAGGGTTTTGTCACGTGAGCTGAGTGTTTGCGGAACAAAGGAATCGCGTGACCTAGTGAGCACGGATGCACTAGACCTATTGAGCGAAGTCGGTTGTAGGAACAAGGAAGTGACCCCTACAACCTTAAAATAGACATCAGTTGAATTCCTCCAGCGCAGTCAAGACGCTATTTTCTTGGTGGAATTAGGAATGTATTGTATACTGAAACAACAGGAAATAACTGCCAAGTAACATAATAGCAAAGTGAGGAGAAATATTTACAGTAGGTAAGGGATTTCGTCTCAATTAGACGTCCGCATGGGAGATTGTCTACTCATGAACTTGGATGACAATTTTTCCACGAACACCTCGACCACGTAGCCTCTCAAAAGCCTCGGGAACTTGACCAAATAGAAACACACTGTCCACATACACTTTAAGTTCACCAGTGCTGACCCAACGCAGCAAGTGCGTCAGACGTTTTCCACTTGGTTGGAAAAAGGCCCACCGAAATTGACTCTGTCGTCTACCTTTTGATGCAATCCAGGGAAACAGTTGAAGACTGGCCAATTGGGCAAAACTAACACCCCCACCAAGAACGAAACCAAGCTGATCAACGAGTGAAAGAATAGGAGGATTTAGGCTAACATACCGTGCACCACAGTCTGGTTTGAGGTAGTCAAACAGAGAGGGAGGCCGTGGGAGACTGAATTCCAACAGTGACTGGAGGCTTAACTGAGGCGTACTCAGAAGTTCCTTCAGCAGTACGGGGCGCACGCAGTCGATAATGATATCATACTTCATTCCAATTGGAGGCTGATTCGGATAAACAATCACCTAAAAACCAAGAAAGAGTTCTGTGAAAAATAGATCATAAGTTCTCCGTCAAATATGATAACGGCTATACAAATGTCACCAGCTAGCCTGGGGATGGGTTTTCTATGCCAAAGCTTGTTTTCTGTTTTTCCTGCCCTGGACTCACTTCAGAATAACAACAAGACCCAACAAACCATTCAAATCAAGTGACATCGTAATAAGAGTACATGTTTTGAGGGATTGGGTATTATCGGATGGTTCTTTCTGGGCTTGGCAAATGTGGCTTTATTTCGGTCCTCGTACTTTCTTCTGGTGGCACGGCGACTGGCCATTAAAGAAGTACGGCTGAATGATTGTTATTACTCCTTCTGGTTATGACTTCGCACGCTCCTCTCAAGTCAACTAACAAGGAATGCTAAAACAAATAACCCGAATGGTCACAGGAGCGTGCTAGAACACCATTTGGCGGTAAACGAATGACAAAAGGCGGACTCTTGTTGCCTGGCTTGGCGCCGATCACAAATAAGTGTGCGGCGGTTTTCAGGCTACGCATCGACGGGCTCTTACGAAGCGGAAGCGACCATCTTCCAATCATTTACAGCTGGGCAGGTCGACGTGCACAAATATCCAAAACCGTTCAAATTCGAGCTTACGATGAATTGTACTTTCCCGAAGCTTACCACAAGAATGAACACGACAGATCGCACCATTAGAATAGGAAAGCACACCTATTGTCAGGTGGTGGTGGGGGTCCAATAAAGTCCAGCCACACGAGCACTTTTGCACAGAGTTGAGCTCGGTAGTCTGATAGCGGCCGATGGGACAGCATTCAGCGTCAACTGTCGTGCTATTTTCGATCGACTACTTGTAACCCCATAAAACACGTAAAATGACTGAGTTGGATTAACTTGACCCGTATCCATTGGGTGGTTAAGGAGTACGCTGCTACCTGACTTTTCAGTGCAATTCCGATAGACTTCGGATCATTCACTCTGATTTTCTGTGCATAACTGTCAGTCCGTCCCATTTACTGCACAAGTCTGCAAACTGCTTTCAATATCCGGATATGTAAGAAAGGCCGATGAATAATCTTTGGAAAATCGAGCAAATAACACAGAGAAAAGCTGCACGTTCTGGTCAATGAGAATTTTAGTGACATTTCACACAAACGAAAATCAGTTCGTCATCTAACGGATGGAGGTAGAAGGATTAGCTCACCAGGGGAACTCCAGACGAGGATCTCACAAGTGCGACAAGAACGTCAGAGGAGAATTGGTATCGCTTAGAGTTTGTTAGAAAGCGTACACCAATGACGGAGAAGCAGCGTTTGAGAGTACATTAAAAGACCGATAAAACAGTCACTCAAAAGCACGTTTAACATTATTGAACTAAATCCTCTATCTTAGAATGTACTACTCACTACGAATCTAAATGACAAGTTGTCGGTTCCGGACTCATCAGTCGTGCTTTACTCAGGTGCACTGGAAACTATGCAGGTCGTAGCACCCAAACGCTCATCGCAGAGAAACCGAGCGCATAAACCAAATCGGGGTTAGAGAAACAGCACAAACCTGAACCATTTAATGGGTACAGGTCGCCAGATCGACTCGATATTTTGCGCTATTAGTCGAGTCCCAATAATCCATCAAAAATAGCTTCATATTTAACGCCGAATGCGTTCATATCGATTACTGTCAGACTACTGTCTAACTGTGTACGGAAAGATGATTATATCAATAAGCCTGATTGCATCGACCATCGATCGGCCAAACAAGATTACACATCACTATTGTCACATGACTATTATCCACTCTCCCAGCCGTCTGATTACTGACTCCGTAATTGTGCATGTCGTTTCTGTGTGTGTCTGTCCACTTACTTGCAACTGTAAAAAACCACGAAATATTTACATATATATTCCCAGAAAGGTGAACATTTCTCGTTCTGACAGGGTAATAATAGAGTGACGTTCGTTACACTACATCGTGGCATACAACATGCTGAACAATCAGTCCACGCACTCCGAGACAGTCTACAAAGCTAGCATGACCAGACCATTATATGTATGTTTATATACACATGATATTTATTATTATATAGTATATATATGGTTGATAGTGTGAGATTTGGGTTTTTGTTGAGCTTTTGTCTTGTAAGTGAAGCCAATCTATGGTGAGAAGCCAAGAAGAAATCTCCACATAGTATATACATAACGACGCGCTTACTGTGCTGTGATTTGAGTCTAACATGAACCTCCAAGTGATCTTGTGTAGGACTGTTAAACTAGTAGTATCTCTGCCTGCGTGCCTCCACCGAATTTTATTCCAGCTCTGCACCAAGAGTGTAATACAACCGAATGACTCGACGGATGTTGTTGGCTGTATGAAGAGACTGTCTCTCAGGAATGTCACTGCCTCTATGCCACAATATCGTTCATGATGAATTGCTTGGTAAACTCAAGTAACAACCTAAGATCATATGACTTTGCACACGCAATAACATCACCCTGTCTTCCACTGTAAATTATAGAGAGGAATTACGACCGAATGTATTGCAAGACCACTAAACTGCCTTCCTGAAACGAAAGGCACACAGCGATCTGAACAATGAAACTAGGGAATAAGGACAAACAGCGATTCACGGTACACCTTTTCAAGTCGGCAGGATATCTTGGGCATGCATCTTTTGCAGTAATAAAATGTTCATTCCATTACGGGTTCTGATCAGAATGAATTGTTCACCATTTGTCCAATCTATCAGTACGCATGCGATTGAATGTAACGTAATCAAAAATCACAAAGGGGATGTGGCCATAATATTAACCGTACAGTCTACAAGTCAGTCCTAACATTAACCAATGACTAACAGCAACCATGGAATAACGCAACACAACCTTAGTACTTCGTTCGCCAGAACGCACTGCACTGGAGAACAAGCTCCTATGGTTTATTTAGTTTATTTAATTAATTTAATTTGGAGAGCACATTTAAGGGGATATCTGCTCCCGCAAACACGAGGTACTACGGACTGCTTACGCTGATAAAGTGGCCCAAAAAACTTAACGGTGAACATGACTTAATGGACACGATGACAACTCCAAAGCCTGATTATTTCCATCGAAAAACACCCGTGAACAAGACCAAGATACCGGTGCAACGGTGATACTACTGATGGGGAGGGCATGTGAGTAGTATGTTTTCTTATAAATTCGCTTTGCGTCTCTTGAAAAGGGGGATCTATTGCGGAATTTGTGGAGTTCCTTTGTAGCATTTGCTTAGATTTGAGCAACAGTCAATGCATATCCAGGAAAGTTCAGAAAGACGCGTTCAAAGAGAAGATGGATATTCAGTTTTTTGTAAACAAGATGCATATGAGAGTCTTGCTTCCCAGTCCAATAGTCTGTAACTGTTCAGTTGGCATCTTCTGATAAATAACTCCGCAGCGAAGGCCTTCTTCCTTTCACCAGTACCTGACCTAGTATCATCCGGTTGCCCCAGTAGACAATGAGGCGCAAACATTGCCGTGATAATAAAATTCGGTTGTATCGTGGATGGAATGGAGAACCCCGGCTGAAACCAGACCAAACTTGTGCAGTACGTTAAATTGAAGAGTAGATTAAACGAGTTTGTTGGGTCTGTCGTGAACACCAACCTAATTCACAAAAGCATGTAATTCACTCTATAATAGACTGTTTCAGTAGGGTAACGGATGCTGAACACTAATCACCCGATTAAAAGTACAATGATAGACATTTGAGTCTATTTGTATGCAGTTCTGCGCCACGAGCACTTCGAAATCAAAGTTTTGGACATAAGACTAATGAACGCGGAAAACTGCTTTGGACACATTGTTTTCGAAAAAGTTTGGTAACAATCGGTAGATTCATTGCTGGGCAACGTTTCGTTTTTGACACAAAAGCTTCGTCAGGCCAAGTGACTAGGTTCCGAGGTTGATCGAGATTTAGGGCGGAAGGAGAACCAATCAGCTAAGTCAAGCTTAATCTCTGTTGGGTGCCGGCCGAGGGATTTTAGTGTGTTAGAGTGGCTGAACAAGGGTTGGGTCGGTGGGTCCAGCCTAGGTTCTAGTTCTTCTGGGTCGGTTCATTTGATGGTTCCTCTTGAACTTCGTTTAAACCTTCTGTCAGTCTGTGTGGGTGAGGTAGTGCTAAGAAAGTTGTGTAAGAGGGATGCTGTGACCTTTGGTCGGTTGGGGTTTCCACCCCTACCCCCCGGTTTTTTCTAATGATCCTAAGTGGATTGACAACCACACCGTCACGTGTCAACTCGGCTTACCTAAGACCGCTTTCCATACGCTCGCTAGCTGCACACCCTCGATTCTATTCACGCTGTGATGTTTAGTAACTTCCACCGCCTCGGCTATCAGCCGTTGTGGTGTGAATCGTCTTGAAACTTCCACATTCTCGGCTGATGACAAATGTTTCCGCTTCAAACATCGCAAGTAACCACCGATCGATTGCATTCACTGCTTTATTTCAGAACAGCCTAATTGCTTTTCTCCACGTTTTTTTGCAATGACCTGATCGGGCGTCGAGATTACTCGTAATGAAGCAGCTAAGCAAGTTGACAACTGCCTGTAGAAATAAACAAAAGTGGCGAAAAGTTCTGTTGGCAGCCGAAACCGGGTGGTCGATTTCTCAGCACCGATGCGTCTCAGTTCATCTAATGTGCTTTCATTCATATGAACAACCACCAGAAATCCGGCTCCACGTTCTCATTGAACGTGCTGCAAGGTTTCGGACCCGTATAATGTACCTACAAATTCATGTAATCGTCTTTGGTTAACCATCTGGGTTCTTCTGACGAAAGCTCGGTCTCCTCGGAAGTGCCTCTAGAGGCGAACAGGAAGTCCTCCCAACTAGCCGCCCCTCAAAATGAGAACCAGCCGTTGGGTCGACATGTAAGATAACGAAGTACATATTTTCCTCCGTAGCCAAAGTTGCACGTAAGATTGGCGTTAAGTAGATACTTTAGAGGATGCGTGGAATCCCATTTTCTGTGATTAATTCACGAGGAGGCTGTTCATTAGCGAATTATGAAGAATTGCCATCTGTTGCTAAAGATGTGGATACACGGTAGTTTGTCACACTGGTAAAACTGGTGAAACCTATCATAGTGACAGACTACCACAGTGCGATNACATATATGTATATATATATATAATATTTAGAAGACCCTCAAATAAAGTATCGAGACGAGACCTGGTTAAAGTGATTCACTCTGAGAGGTCACCATTCCGGGGAACGAGACCAAATCCTTATTTTTATGTGATGAGAAAGCTGTTCCTACGTCAAACATTAAAATTTATTGGAATTCTGTAGTTCATTAATATTCCATACCATTCTCTATTGAATCCCGTATGACGCATAATCCTCGCAGAATGGGCATTACACATGTGAGATTACTGAATCAGGTGATGTACTACTCTTCCTCTGATCCTAAAATCGATATGGTGTTAGGTGTCGTTTACCGTTTCACCTTCCTATGAGTTACTTGGGTGGTCGGCAACAAACCTGTCACCTAGTAAAGAACATTATCCACGATAAGGTAGTAAACCTCAATTTCATTATAAACCAGTTGGTGCATTAGTCAAAAGTCACAACCTCTGATTCACGCAATCTATGGTCGAACACAACCAGGCGACAGGATGATGAGCTTTGATCTCAAGTGTCGTGTGCACCAACGAAATGTACAGTCCTAATTTAGCCAGAATTGTCCGGATCCTGGCATGTTTCCATGCCTCCACCTAGCTTGAAGACGGAGTCTACTCAACGACTGGTGTGAAAGTGGAGTTATTAGTTTACGCCAGAGCATGGCCAGAAGCAGTCTATCAAAACAAAAACATACGAACTAGACTTGCTTGGTATCATTAGACCTGCAGGGGCTGTCTGGGGACGGAGTAAGCTATGATAAGTTTACCAGTGCGCTTCCAGCGTACACAAACTGAGACGCACATGATGTACGAATGTATCTTCCGGACACATTATGTGAAAAGTCTCGCAACTTCGTTTTTCGGCGACACTCTAATTCTTATATTGATCATCGGTAAAAGCTTTAATTAACAGAGTGATGCAACATTTAACTGAACTAAACTGTCTTAATTTCACCTTTGGGGACAGGAACACCTCAGTCGTCATGATGAGGTTGCCTACGGAGTTGAGGCACTCAGTTGGATTGCATTACACAATTGAGTTCTCATCGGTCAACTGAGCTCGCAACACTTTGAACTGTTATTCGAGTTGAGTAGAAATATTGAACCGTTGATCTTACACTACATTAGATAGTTCACAATTTGCTGCATTACAGGACAGTCACGAAAGCGCTCGTTTGTACAAAAAGAGGGAAAACTTCCAGTTATCAAGTTTATCTAGGAGTATTACGAATGACACAGTTAGACAGACACCAATTGCAATGCAAAACGATGTTTACATTTCTTGAGTTCTAAGAATATGTGGTCCCCGTTTGGGAAGTAGCGGGGCTACGACTGTCAAAAACTTCTGGTCTACAGGCTAAACCTAGCTGGCTGGAACCAAAGTTCGTTCCACTTTCTAATGAGCACTAGCTTGACATTGTCTTCCTAAGATGACAAGACCATGGACAGTATAGTTAATAAACTATCGTTAGATTGTCTGTCATTATGGTGTGTTGTTGAGTGGCACCCGCTAACAGTCGTAAGATGCTGTAGTGAGCGAATCGATTGAGTATGCCGATAAGCTGATGATAATAGGGGTCGCTCCCATTGTGATGCCACTATGTTGAGACCGGTTGATGGTTTATATCAGGTCTCTGCTCGCCAGGGGTGGAATGGCTCAGTGGTAATAGAGTGAATTTACTGACCGGAAGGTCCGTGGTTCGAACTCGACCTCTGCCTCTCGACTCCCCCTGTCTAGGCTTTGGCAACCTGACAGTATCCCAGCCCTCGTGGTGGCGTGGCAGTTAGGCATCGAAAAGGTGCTACAGCTGAACGATTCTGCTCTCTAACCTACCCATCTTATTCCCTCGTGTCTACAACGGCGCCTGAAGCTCGCGTGTTGCATTGCATTCGGCTCAGCAAGAACCATTCATGGCTCTTGTATTATATACACTATACATATATGTATATACGTATATATGGTCTCATGCCTTGATTCGAGTAAGGATTAAAAATGATTATAAGACCTACCATCAATTCCCATTCGAAAGACAGCTCGGAACTTTGAATGTAGCGAAGCTTCCGTTATTTTGGAAGATACAGCCCAAAACTTACAAGCTTAGTGACCAGCTGACTTATAGCTAAACATATATTTCCGTAGTTTATCTCTTTTAGTACCTTTCGTTTGATTTCCACTGCATCGGGGACGATCGCTTCAACTACAATTTATAGTTATATCCCGGCGGCATGGGTCTTTGCGAATCCTATAGACAATCTTGTTGAGACACTGAAACAGCATACCAAGTGGAAATACAATGTAAACTAGCCGCAAGATGAGTAATTTCAGAATGAGACACGAGTGAACTCTGCCCTGCGCCGATATGGTAAACGTAAAAAGGAATAAGTAGCCTCATGTCACAGAGATCTAAGGGAACTGATCACATCTACAATAACGAACGAGTCACAGCAGGAAGGAAGCACAAGGGCTGGGAAAATGTCAGGTTGCACAAGTCTAAACAGGGGAAGTTGAGAGACAGAGATCGGGTTCGAATCAGGGACCTTTCGGACAGTAAATCCGCGCCCTAACCACTGAGCTATCTCGCTCCCATGTTAAAACAGTAATTACTATGGGACTGACAAAGCAACACTGTATTAGAGATGACGTAAATAGAGAAAAGCTGAAAAACTTACCTCCTCAACGTTCAATTCCTTCATGAGTTCTTGAGCTTTAGCATCCGAAGGGCACGTTACATGAACACGAGCACCCCAGAGTTTTGCTAGCTGAGATGCAACCAGTCCAACTCCACCAGTAGCTCCAGCAATCAAGATGATTGGTTCGCGGGGAGGTTTGGAATTTTGTTGTAGAGGAAGAGAAGGCTTGAGTCCTCCACACTCCAAAGCAGACCAAGCGGTAAGGCCAGCATATCCAACAGCAACTGCTTCAGTTGAACTCACATTCTCTGGTATACAAGCAACATCAGCTGCTGAACAAACAATATATTCAGCTAGCGAACCAGATCCGGTGCTACTAAGAAAGGGCCAAGTAGCTCCTGCTATGCGCTGACCTACTCGAAGGTTAGCATACTGAGGAGATCGAGAACTCAGTACCGACGGACCACAGCCAACGACTTGACCGGCAAAATCCCTGCCGGGAGTAAATGGAAAATCTGACCCATATTCTGCTGGATTTGACTGAGCACATGCTGAAATGAACCGACGAGCATACCGAAATGTAGTCGCACCGTATCCATACATGAGCAGCAAATCAACAGGATTTAATGAGGCTGTGGATAACTTGATGAGTAGCTGATCCGGACGATTTATCGTAGGTATTCTTCGAGTGAGTGTTCGGTGTAGCTCTTTGGTTAAGTTGTCGGTCCCAGGTTCGAGAAAATTCAGGCATTGCCATGCGCTCATAAGATAATCGGTTGGAAAAGGACGGTCACATTTTGCAGTCACTGGGATCTGGTTAGGTACTTTGGATAGAAGTCTGAAAATTAAGCTCATCCTGCTGAAATGAAATCAAAATTCAGATGTGATTTTTCAAAATCACAATAAAAATTTGTTCTCAAAAGTCCTCCGAGAAAAATGCTGCTGCATTATTGAATGACCATGAAGGGTAGTAGGTGACCCTCAAGGGTTCCTCAACAGTCCTTAGTAGTTTACATTACTGTTAGTGACCCAGTTGGACTTATACACTTGGCGCATAGACCAGATATTGCGATTCGTAAACCGTTGCTCAAAGAGACTTCAACTGCACTGTGATAGTGACCCAGTTGGACTTATACACTTGGCACAGACCAGATATTGCGATTCGTAGACCGGTGTTCAAAGAAACTTCAACTGCTTTGTGGGCTACCTCGAATGGAGCACTGGAGTGCTAAAATTTAAACCCTGATGTCCAATTTGTGAAATTTGCAATGAGTCATCTGAAAACGTTAGGTCTGATAGCAATTCAAACTCTATAGAACGAATGACTATATTTCCTCTCACGAAGGTCATAGAGAACAGTCAATGTCCCAAGACGGGGTCATTCGCAGGAGACACACGTGACAAGTCTGTTAACTAGTATGCCAGTAAAGGAAAAAGAAAGACAAATAAATATAACTAACAGATTCTAGTCTGTCACTCCGGAAGACTCCATAAATTCAGTAAAATTTCAAATGAGAAGACTATATGAAGTAGATGACAGAGACGCTGTGATGGCGCAAAAGCTGAGATGCGGGACCCAAATTGGAAACAACCGCAATCCAACTGTGCTCCTGATCTGTCTAGGTTTGGATTAAGTCGTCGTCACAGCATACCATCAGTGTCACAACACTGATGCATCCGTCGTACTGGACTATGTATCCATAGTTCATTCCTAGTAGACTTTCCGAATTAGTCGGAAACGATGAACAACTGGACAGCAAAACGGAAGCCAATCAGGAGTTTAGCCTTCAGTAGACAAAGCCATGTGACGGACCTGGACGATCGAAGGATGCCTTACATGAAGAAGGTATTCGTGATAAAAGACAGCTTCCTCCGACCTCCGAGATCACAATGCCTACTTTTTACGAAAAACTGGAGCATTTTCATATACGATCACAAAAAGAGGTCAGGCTCCCTGGTTTTCGATATAGCCGACGGTAGTGAATCGGGAGCAACAGTGAAACAGTGAAACGTGGCTGTATGAATATCACTATCTAGGTGAAAGCAGTACTGTCAAACGTACACCCTATATTGGTAGTTACGTCAACATTCGTGGAGTAGAGATTGAATAGACTGGTCGACCAGTCAAATACCTTCTCCTTGAAAGCTGTATCGAAGTGCACTCGTTTTAAAGGTCGTGTTGATTTGCTACTTGACTAACCAAACCAGAGGATATACACAACTGGATGTTAACTTTCCAAGTTGATCATCTTAGTCACTGGGCTACCGATAATCAGGTCACACTCAGACGTGAAAACTGTTGCACGGAAACAACATGAACTAATCAATCGATCTTTTTTACTAACAGCTAGAACGTAGGCATCCTGCGAGAAAGAGGATAAAACAGAAGAAACCATGCACAGGCTAAACAGCTTAACCATGGAGGTGAGTCGTAGCCTAAGGACCAGCCAGTAGAGCTCGAAAATCACAGCAAGAGCTGCTGGCTTGATCAAGGCATACTATTCGACCGACGCTAGTTGAAGGAATCATGACGGAGGCATGAACCGCACTGCTCCTGCTTACTTACCACAAAGCAGATGCGAAAGCTACCTAGAGAAACAAAGCGGTTTAGTAATACTGAATGTTACTAAACAAATATCGCTGCGCAGGTTGATGATAACGGGGAATACATTTATGATATCCGGAGAATCATGCGAGATGCGAAAAAATCAGTGTCCATCTTCCATTCATGCAAAGTTGCGCAAATTCAAGAGGAATTCTATAATGTTGGAAGAACACTCCCCTAAACCTTACAGATATTAAACTTTTCCATATTCTCACAACAGCCAACACTATGGCACGATTTGACTGTTGATTTTTTTCATTTGTCCCGTCTAGCAAGCAAATCCATGACTTGAATGTAAAATAACTCTATGCACAAATTACAGAATGGTAAGGAACATTGCAGTTTAATTGACCACACACGGATATGATTCTCTACCCAGAAGCACAAGCCATCCACGATCAGCTTTGGCAATGTGCGCAGCTAATTTCCAAACAAAACTCCAGTCAACTGGGACAATTTATGTAGGGGTAATGCCTGTACGGTCGTGCAAGCACTCAAACTGGACCAAAGAATCCATATTCTTGAAGTTCGTGGAGTTTTCTACGGAATGATGAAGTTTCTTCGTCTTCTTCTTTATAGTACTCCGCATCAGAGCGCCCACTCCCTTGATGGAAGGCTGTCACACTCAAGGGGAGGTTTATGAGTGGGATTACAGCACCAAAGGTAATACATACATACCATCAGCAGTCTATGAACCTGACCACTGTTGTCATCATCAGTTGTAAATCATATATAGATGGTACAGCGATCTTGGTTGCAACATCGGTTTATTAACTTTAATGACCACCAGGTTCCTCTAATGGCGTAGTTCGTTAAGGACGAAATCGGGAATTTCGGTCTTGGTATGCGTTCTCTACAGAAGCGCAACAGATAGTCGTGTCATTGTGAGCCAGGCTTTTTATGGGTTACGGATTGGAGCGAAGTTCTTTTGAGGCCAAAAATGGCGTACTGATCTTTCGCGTCCCATCGCGCAAATCCCAGAGCTAACTAGAAAAGTGCTACAATTCTCCCATCGTTACCATGAAATGAGAAATATAACACTGTCGTTATTGCCTACTCCCAACTGCATTACAGTTTTTCTATTCTAATAATGTCCCAACTTTCTGTTTACTGTTTGGATAGTTTTCGAACTTCAGCACCCCAAAATAAGAAACCTCCCGACATTTAACAACCTTTGGAGGAAAGAATTCTGGCCAACCAAGAAAATTCCGCTACAAACCCGCGAGAACACAGTAACAACGAAAATCTCACCATCATTGCTCATCACTCAACTCGGTCACATCGTTTTCTCACACGTGCGGGCTCCCACCCTTCACGTTCATATGTCGGAATAAAACTGCAAGTATCCAACAATGTAAAAGGGATACATACTACGGACGGGAGGATAGTTGACCAATCCATGCGTACTCACGAAAAATGAAATTGACGAAAGCAACTCGCTGCTACAGTTCAACCGTTTATGGATGCATTCAGTAACGCATGGACAACAAAGACCCTTTTCGTTTGACGGGAGCTGACTGAATGAGTGGATTGAATATGTCATTGTCTTTTTATCCGAAAATGATAAGGGTAATCTCCTCCCGCTTGGTTCCTGGAGGACGTGCATTCATGGGCAAGTTCAGCTGTCACGAAAGCCTGCCTGAACGCATGAAGTGAACTTGACAACAGCAGACTTTGACGCTAAGTGCACTCTTTAACAGGCGTCTTTGATGTATGTGTTCAAAAAGTGTCTGGGACTCAGTCATCCGTAGGTGTGGACCTTGGTTCGGCTGACGAAAAGCGTTCTTCATAAGACTTCTATAACGCGACTGATCATTCCAGTTGCGGTGCTTGGCTATGAAAACAATGGTTAACTGCATACGTGACTGGTGTACGGTCTGGGGACATTACTTCAGCAGATAAAATGTGCTAAAACTATTTCCAAGTACCATTAGGCCGAAATCAGATTATTTTCGGAAGCAATCGGTAGATTTGAAATATGAATGGTGAGAAACAGCCCAGTATAGGGCTGATTCTAAAAACAGTGAATTTCAAATGTCCACGGAGTAGCTGCCATCCTGGACTAGAAAGTTGCATATTGTTTTCATTCGACGCCGATTGTGGTCAAACCGCAGGATGCTTGCCCATAGTAAGAAGCCACAATCAGTTTCCGCTAAGCAAACCGTGGCGGTGCGCGCAAGAAATTGGCGTCGATGAGAACTCGGTGCGCGAACGTCCAAAGTAGCCAGAAGGGTTAACCCTATTCCACGGCGTTGAAAAACAGAACCTGACGGGACCGACAGAAGGATGGTATTGGCAAGCGGCATAATGCAGGGTTTTAGTGTAGTATATATCCATAGTATTTGAAGTGCAGCACTCGCCCTAACTAATGACCCTACCTGGAACAACTCGACGTTGTATACAGTGCAGGCAGGCGTAGAGCTACTCGTTCCTCTATCGTGAGGTTAGCACTCTAATAAGACAAAATTATTCTGGCTTTCCAAAGGTCCTACTAGGGAGGGAAAATCGTCAATGCAGTGCCAATAGTCACCCTCGTCCGGAAAGCCATCTCAATGAGCCGTTCTAAGAATGTCTCTTTTGATGGACGTTCTATCCAGAGGGGGATAAGTGCATTTACTTTGGTTATGGGCTGCAAAGTTACTGCTTCCCAGGGTTAGCGCCACATATGGTCATCAAAGTGGGAAACCATGTCCGATACATTTAGTCGAGACTTGTGAAATGCCCACCTAAATGAGCGGAATAAAAAATAGTTCAACTATAGATGGCCTAGATTCCATGCCACCCATAGGAAGCACGAGGGCTAGGATACTGCCAGGTTGCCCGAGCCTACACAGAAGTCGAGATGCAGAGGCTGGGTTCGAAACGCGAACCTTCTGGTCATTAAATTGGCGCTCTACGCACTGAACTACCTCGCCCCGTTCGGCATTAGGATAATATTCAGTCGAACAACAATGAGTCGGGCTTGAAAACCAACTATTGAAGGAAACGGAACGCTGATAAACCGAGCAGCTATTAAGGACAAGTAAACCTGACTGATTTCGGCTATGCTAATTTTTGGGAATTAAAGCTATATTTTATTCGCAGATTACAACAGAATGCTCAAACACTACATAAAATGAAATCACTCCAAGGCTTCACGGTGAATGCATACCGATGAGTGTAACGAAAAAACCCGAGGAGCAAAGCGCATAGATATCGACCAGGCAGAGACTTCGCTTCCTTAAGTCGACCTCCAAGTATCTGACTAGCTCAACCCAAGTTTGAGTGGTTCACCTCTTGTCCTGACGAGGTTACCCTGGTTAGTCCACATCAAAGTAGAGGCAACAAGACCGAATTTACTTGTTATTAACCACTTTCGCAAATCAATGAATTCACGGGGCTATGAAATGCAATCGTTCAGCGATAACCCACGAACACACTGACATCTGAACAAAATAGGCTAACATACTCGAATTCGACTGATTTACATTGTTTGCCCGATGCTTCAGATGAAGATCTGTTCATCGTCCTGGTAGTCGGAGTAAGAAACAACCATGTGTGGTACATGCCTCACCAATTGTCTACTTAGCTTTATCTGTTGCTCTAGCAATTCTGACTCTTTATCGAGGACTAGCCTGCGAACTACTTTAATGCAGATACACTGCAGTCAACTAACGCTTTTATGATGCGAAAAGACAGATAAAGACGTGTGAAGTATTCGGATTGTGACAGCCAAGTCGCACAGCCATTAGGTTAGACTAGTCGCTGTATTGATTTTGTAGTTGCAGTCATTTAATTTAATTCACACGTTTCGGACTGACAAACACTGAGAGCATTCCGAAAACGAGTGCAGCAGACAAAATACGCAGACCGATCAGTATAATCAACCTCCGGTTAGATCCCAGTTGCAAAGTATGGTCCTTCGTAAAGTGACTGGTCAAGACGAACGGCTGAAGTGGCCGTAAGCAGTCATTTTAGTAACTCAACTACCCATAAAATTCACTGGCTGGATTGGGGGTCATCTAGTCCTGAGTTCATCGACACATAACTGCTGAGCAAACTTTCGCGTCACCGATTTCTCTGAGTCCATCTGGCGTGCACTAATAAGTCTAAATGCCTAGTGGTTGAGCGTTTCGGGATCTTCCACCCTAAATACGGTTTTTCGCTGTGACAAAATGGGCACAATTGACAGCAGTTCTGTGGACAGACAGTATGTTTTTTATTCTGATAAGATGATTCGCTCGAAACACTGTACCGGGTTCCAAAGGCTTGCAATCGCAGATAATGCAAAATCTGCAATGGCGCATACAAAGCTAAGAATTAAGAAATACTGATCTGCTTCGTTAAATAATCTATCAAAAGATATAAAAACTAATCACAAGATAGTTAGACGGGTGGAGTAGACAAGTATCAGAAAAAATCAAGAAATCACAAGTGCATCAACCACTGAATCGACCGGCAGTTCGTTTTGTTCGGGTTTAGAGGGCGGTAGGACAAGCAGAAGGTTGAAATCGACACAACTCGCGAGCCTAGAGCTCATTTGATCGCCCAAATGCTCAAAGGTTGCGCAAGGAATCGATGCAGATGCGACGGTGCTGTCGTTGCAGGAGTCTTGCCATACTAACCGAGCACGTCGATAGTCAGGCCGATCCCCAAGGCTCACCGAATGGAGTAGGCGAACTCTTATGCGCGGAAAAGTCCAATCTGTCTCTGGGCGGAGCTCCAGTTGACGCAGCAATGGCAAGACAAACAAATGTGTAGTCACGAATGCTGAGACTGGATTGCCAGGCAAGCAAAACACCAGAACTTTCCGTGATTTTAAATCGGAATACAACGGGACGGTGGCAAACTTGGTCGGCTTTCCAGGTTTCATGAATACACGAGAAAAGTGTACTATGGCGCCAAATTTTTCGGCCAAAACAGTGGCCACAAGGTCATGTTCTCCCATACTAACTCCTCCCGTGGTTATTAAGATGTCACATAAGCCAAACGCTCGCTGGAATGTTTCTATCAGTAGATCCTGTTGATCCGACACTATTCCTAAATCCACGGTATTGGGGAAACCATGTTTGCGAAGCAAAACAGACAAGGCTGGAAGATTGGAGTCGATTATCGATATCGGTTCGAACGGGGAAGTTGGGTCGACCAATTCGTTCCCTGTTGAAAAAATTCCTATACGCGGCTGTTGAATACATGGAATATATCCACCCTGAGATAAGCTGTCAAGAACCGCAGGCGGCAGATTCGTTCCATGATCTGCCAACAAGTTGGCGAAATTAGTACAGGGCGATAGTAGTCCTGCACCAGCTAATAAACCGATTTCAGCTGGACCAAGACGTAAACCACGTTGAAAGACGTAATCACTGGACAGATCGGTACCCGATGACCTGATGAATTCACCCACTTTTCGGGGAGGCGTTAAGACTTCAATCCGCTCTTCTTCTTCAGTAGGGAAACCGTTCTTGGAAGTCACCCGTTTTGTGGAAATAAGGCGAGTATGTTCCACTGGGACTACCGCATCAGTTCCAGGTGGTAAAGGACCACCGGTATTTACACGCATACACGTGCCCCTGGCGAGAGACACATCAGCTGGCTGTGGGTCACCGGCACATACAACACCAACAACTCGAAGTCTACCTGGTTTGCGGCTAAAGCGAACTGCGTATCCATCCATGACGCTGGCATCAAACGGAGGGATGGGGTGTTGTGCTCGGAGTGAACATCCAAGCACGCGATCCACTGCATTTTTGTAGAAAACCGGCTCAACTGTGAGGCGCGCCAACATGAGGGTGGCAGCTTGAAAAATCTTCGCCTGAGCCTCACTAACTGATATCATCGGAAACGGAGACTCCCTTGGACGAGAGGCAGCGCTCTTAGTGTTAGTTTCGAGAAGTGGTAGGGATAGAGCACGCACTTTGTTTGTGTTGTGTCCAACTGACCAGCCCCTGATCTGCTCGACCGCGTGTTTGACTATCGGTAAGAGAATGGGGATGCATTCAGAAACTGCCTTGGGGCTCCCAGGGATCGCGATAAGTAATACCTGGTCTCGTACTCCAGCTACAAAACGAGACAAGGCAGCCATTGGTGTATGCTGGAAGGAACAACCGTACAGTGCATGTTCCAGTCCAGAAAGCCGGCGACCTTGGCCAATTATTTTCAAAACAGTCTCAGGTGTTACATCTCGACCACTGAGGCCTGTACCACCGATGGTAACGATCACATGTACCAGGCCAGAGGCAATCCATTTCATAAGAAGTGCATGGATCTGCGCTTGGTCGTCCGGGACACAGTCACGCAAGGCCACAGAATAACCACCCTCTTCGACCAGTTTGACTGCCATCGGACCGCTCTCATCAACAGCGGAATTGAACGAACATGAGTCACTGATGGTCAAGATTCCGAATGAAATTTGAGGCCCTGAAAGGCAAAAAAATACATTGAATCAACGCGGGATTGACAGTGCCCTTAATTTACTTAGCCACCGTACGTAATTTGGATGTTTTGCGACACCCACCGGCCACGCTGAGTTAGCTTCCTTCCACTAACGAAATTAGTGTGGGTGAGACGATTAGACCCATCGTGAGCAATTAACTCTAAGAATTAAACTTGCTATCCCCAAAACTGAGTAACCACTACTTAAGCGGAAATGTTTTCGATTGCCAACGATATAAGCTTTCGAAAGTACCCAGGCAGATAGCATTATGGCGTGAAAATGATATAAACTACGTGTCTATCAAGTAATCTCGTAAGAAGACCATAAGTGTGTTGTTCATTGAAAAGCGGAAAATGCGACCAAGGATCAACAATAGCCGAAATAAAATAAGTTCTCTGATGGGAGAGTCACAATCAATGAGCGTTCTACGGGTGACAGTTGGGAAGTGAACCATAGAAGCGAGCCATCAACATCCCAACACCGTTGCCAGCAGTCAGTTCGCAGAACAGCCATAACTTACAACCTAGGATTATCTTCCATCGTCAGCAAGGAAGGAAACACTGATAGCCGGAAAAATCAAGCAAAATGTTTCGAAAAAGCGAATGGTTGAGTACCTGCAATTCCGTCATCAAAACTGTAAGAAATGGGTAAGGTATTGTAGGGTTAGCTTGCGGTGGGGAAACAACGACTTATGAGAGCAATGGTCCGAACTACGACATTAAACGAATGATTTTAATGTGTCAATCCTCACAAGTGAATAATCCCATAGGAATACATATTATACGTTGATCTGTTCTAGACAGAAGTGAAATACGTTGAAAAACGAATAATTCATGTTAGTAGACAAGTAATATTGTCATTGTAGTCAAACGGATGGCTAGGATTTTAGGCTGGCTAATCCATGATTGCTATTTCGCTCACAACTGGGAGTGCACGAATCAGGTTATTCTTTGTCGGCAAAGCACAGATTTCGGGCAGGCAAATTCAGTCACACTGATACACGTTCAGCTGTAACACCCTTGCGGTGCCTAACTGCCATGCCACCAAAGAGGCACGAGGGCTGGAATACTGCCAGGTTAGCCAAGCCTAGACAGAAGTCGAGAGATAGAGGTTTGGTTCGAACCACGGACCTGCTGGTCAGTAATTTCGCACTCTAACCAATGACCCAGCCCGCCCCACTGATAGTAACTGCTTTTACTCTGGGTACTTTAACACACAGATATGGCTCACTGCACTTTACAATGGCCGAAACAACCAGGTCTCATGCAAACCTGCAAGTTAACTTCGTATGGGTGAAAACTACGGTTAATCTCCACAATGGAACTTTCAACGCGAAGGCTGTCAGGGTATTCGTTGCTGATATATTGGTGAGCAAGCAGTTTTTCTAGAAGATGCTCTACTAAGACAATACCAAGCAGACCTATCAAGCAGGCTAGTACTACCGGCCTGGTTAAGCACAACCATTAATCAGTCAGCAGGACCCAGACAGCATTATTTCCACAACGGGGAATTCATAGTATTCAGTTGGTCAATCAGTAAATGGATATGTAACAAAAAAATCATGCACGACCACGAAATGCGTACGTGGTCAACCACCATAAGACGGCGAGAAGTGGGTTGTCCAGATGCAGTTCCGATGTTTAACTACTCCTGGTAAGAACTTCGTTCGTGACCACAACAATGGCAGATCACAATAAAAGTATTCGGTTGTCCTGTTGTTGGAAATTACCTATTAGTTTGCATCGGTAGAACCCTATACCTAAAGATAAGAGGAGAAGGATAAATAGGAAAAGCAAACGCGATTCCTCAACAGGTGATTCGGTTTTGGAAGAAATGCAATGAGCGATGGCGACAGAGCTGTCTGGTTAATCCAGTCTGACTCATCGATTAGGGTGAGAGGATAGCGAAACTGGCTGCTGACCTACAGTTCGGTGCGTTAACTAGTTGTTGAACACGTGGCAGTTAATCTGTTCGCCGGGTTTGTCAATCGGCTTGAAAGCTAGTGTGGAAGTTAATTGTCAGCATCGGCTAGCAGGCCAACTAGTTCTTGATTCAGAGCCAAAACACACTGTCAGTAAGCACAAATCCTAATCGCACACTATGAGACGTGCACACCTGGCACATACATCCATTTACAGTTGTACTACCATTGTGAGCTCGAGATGGCCAAGGGACTGAGGTGCGAACATACTTGACTGGAAAAACCATGGTTACAGTCCAACCCCAGTATCTTAACTGCTCCTATCTGAACTTGGACAACCTGGCAGTATCTCAGCTCTTGTGTTTCTTCGTTTGGAATGGCGACTAGGCACCGAAAGGGTGTTAAAGCTGAACAAGTACTTTTGATTACTGTTATCACAGTGGGCAGTAAGCCACGCAAACTAATATAGTTCGTCAACTTACTAGCGTCTGCTTTATGCAGATTATGTTCAACGGGCGACAGATTTGTGAACCGAAGAAGTATATGAACCATCATCGAAGGACCGAAACGACTAAATGCCAAAAACTCGTGAGATAAATGATAACTTAAACATGGATAATGAAGTAGACCGATTGAATTGAGACATGCAATGCAGAAAATTAGCAATGCGGCTTGACACATGCGTGCTATCCGAGCCAGCAAAGCCACGGAATTCATGTTTTGATTGAAGTATAAAAATATGTGGAATCAACCACTATTAAAAACCTTCGAATTAAGAGGAAGTTATCTCGGCTTGAGACTTGAGCATAAGCATCTGATGCAACTAGTACTCCTAGAACTACCTTAGTACGGAGGAACGTTTTCAGTGAAACAATAAGGCACACATTTCGCAGCCACCTTCATCGGACATTGTGTAATAGGAATTCATGTTTGAAGTCTGTTTATCACTGAACCTGATTTGATCCACAGCCTACTGCGATTGTTTATCGATGACAACCAATGTCTGCGATTGTTAGGCTGCTCATTCACTCGCCATCATGTGGTCGGCCTACTCAAGCGCGCTGATACCTTTCACGCAAAGTACTCAAAGCATATCGCAACAATATTTGGCAGAAAATCATACTGTGTCATTTGGTCGAGCCAGAATACTCTACAAAGTCCCGTCACGAAATTTTTCATAATAACCCGCAAGAGTCAGCAGCAATCTATTGCGAGGATTTCGTTTATCACAAAAAGGTCGTGACAACGCAATTTCATTAACACCAAATCAACTTGCACGCTTAAACTTAAACTAAACAGAATCGAAGAGAATGCTAAATTTCAGAGTCGACGCTAGCAGGGCAGTATTTTTTGGTCTACACAAAGATTGCCAAAAAATAGAAACTTCGAGCAAAAAACTCGAACTTTGCCCCTACGCTAATATTCAGCCTGGTTACTCTAGGTGAAGAATACGCCATTTTTTACGTTCATTCAACGTTGCCCTTATCTCGTATCGTCAGAGATGACAAAGTCCCTAATGCGGGCTTATGTTAAGGTTGGCCAACTGGCGGACGGCTGTTTATGCTGCAGTATGATAACTGGATGGTCTTCGAGGCACTTAACAGGTAATTTGGAAGATGGATGGCACGGACTGCAACTTGACATTGCAGCATATTATCCTGACCAGAAATCCTATTGAACGAAAAATGTAAGAGGAAAGGTCTACGTTGTCGAGCAGAATGTCGACACGGTTGAGTTCACTAGGTTAGACATCAAAAAGAATGTAGCATTGCTTGCGCGCAGTGAAAAACTGAACTGAAAAATTCGAAGACAAGTACTCGATTGATATGCAATACAGTAGATCTAAGCAGTAAAGTGTCTAGTTAATGGTGAATTCTGCTTAGATGTTTAAGTTACCCCCTTGACTCAGAAGGTACACCTTATCAAAAATGAATGCACATGTAAAAGATACACGACCATTTCACGAGGCTTCCGATTCAAACAAACCCAGGTACACTGAGTCGTTAAAATGCGACCATTGGTCAGCAACCTAATGACAAGTCAAAACAATTTACTCCTCTCGAAGATCAAAACAATTCCATTTCTCAAGGCTGCTAACAAAAACCACCAGTAAGATGCTTGGCTTAAACACTCTGGGAGATAAAATGCATGAGTTCGCCTGGGTAGAACGATACATACATCCCTAAATATTAAGCGAACCGATAGAGAGTGCGGAACTGCTATCTTCATACTCACCCTCTGGATCCAGTCCAATACGTGCCTCTGAATGAACGCATTTAAACGAAGGGGAAAAAATGTCACTGCTGCGAAAATTTGGTACTTTTACGAATACCTCAAATCACGTAAGAATGCTAACAACAGTTAACAAGTGACCACGTCTCACTAATTACACCGAATGGTCAGTTACGGAAGGAGGGAGTTGTCTTCTCTTTTAAGTAGACAGTAGCACGTAAGCCAGAGAACCGGATGTCAAAAAAGCGGATGAATACAGGCGGGAAATTCGCCACGTACTTGATTTCCTTACTGTGTTGTCTTTTACCAGGAATGGCATTCCGAATGCAACATTGTTCATAGTTTATAATATTTCATTAGAAGCACTGAAATGAGAACGATTTACAAGAGGTTCTGAGTGGAAACAAACTAACAGTTGAAAATTCGCATACTGACTGAGGAAAAGAAATACGTGAGACCAGCTTTGTATTATTTCGTACAGTAGGCTGCAGACTCAGTTACGGTCACATCGGTCTGCTCAGTGGGACAGTTAGGAATTACAGGATCCTGTTTGGTCGCAAAATACAGACATAACCACAGTCCGGCCTCATTGAATCTTAAAGTAACACTTACCACACTGATGTGATCTGAGTATGAGCCAGCTCAGTTCGAAACTACTGAATATTGAATAGATTCCTTGGCTCCGATTCTCCATGGCTTTCCGAAAACTCCTGTTTAGGCTCGGGTACCCGTCACTATCGCGTTCTTTGTGGTTCGTTTGAACTGCACGGCAGCCATGCATCGAACAAGTACCATAACCCATAACTTGATTATTTTTTATTATTCCTCATTCCCAACACCATCACAGACAGGACACAAGGGAATCTGATGCTTTACCAGCGCACAACCATTTCAATTAGCTTGCAAAAAAGGAAAGTGAGAAACAAAAGAGCTGACCAATCACAATCATTAAGTGTTGCCCACACCTCCACTCATGCATACACTCTGGGTAGAAGCAAACAACAAAAACGCCAATGACCGAGATTAGCAGTCACATCTTCAACCATGCACAAGAGGACCCTATTCTGGAACGCGACCAGCACCGGTAGTATCGGGACTTTTGATAAGTTCCTTCATGCCCCGGCTGCCACGCCAATCGTTGGCCACGTCTCTGCTTGCGCCAAACTGAATTGGGTACGGGAACAACACTCTTAGGAAAACGATGATTCGACATGCAGAATACCTGGCCAGGCCGCCGCAACTTTTGGTGCTGAACAAGTTCTTCGATTAAAACGACTGTCGCACAACCGAACACTCGCTTTTTAATTGTCTGGTTGCGCATTCTCCAGCACTTGCGTACACTCTATAAGGTCCCGAGACAAGGGCTGTCGAACACTCAAAGTCGGTCAACCGAATTCAGACTCCGGTTACAATAAAACCACTAGAATACTGATTGAAAGGTCTGGGCCTTGATACAGGGGATTGCACAGGGATCTATTTTAGAGGATAGAAACATTGAGCTATCAAGTCATTTAACTCAAAACATGCGAAGGTGGACAACTCCATCGCAACTTGCTAGAGTCGATGCGCTGAACTGCTGAACTATTACGATAAAAAAGTGAAGCAGTTGGTCAATTCAGCTAACGCGGGTTGACCTCACAGAAAACTGCGTAGGCAGTGGGCGAAACACTCATTTAATCGATTTGCTCGAGTTTTTGGCAAGAAACGCGTTTCAGCAGCCAGTAAAATGTACGGCCTTACCGTGAATCCAAGCACAAATGCTACACCACTTGATGGGTTTAGTAGTCAGTCGGCTGAACATCGTCGCATGATACCTACGATCTCAACAGCTGAGTCCATTTCATACCCAACCTGTTGTGGGGGGACATGACGCGGGATCGTGCAAAGTTCGCAAGCAGCTTCTGGAATGAGGACTGAGACTTCCTGAGAATCACAACAGACACTCGATGTTTGAAGCAAGATCAAAGTTTATTCAACTGAGCCCGATTGCGGCACAGGGCATTATGTAGAGATGCATCGTAATGAGGCAGTTCATTGTGAGACTATCATGTGCAGTTGCGATACCACATCAGGAGATTGCGGTTACGGCTCGTTACGGTAGAAGTAACAGGCTCGAAAACCCACCTGCTTCTGATCGTTCAAAAAGTTATAGCCTGGTGTACCGCCTATGACCACGCGACAAGGTGACCGAGAGAACCGGCTGTCCTGATCAATACCCGTAAAGTCCACGTGCCGTCACCGTAACCTGTAATTTTAAACCGGCTTCTAGATATGAGGCTGTCAGAGATGCACACATCACTCACATCCATCATGACCAGATTAAGCAGAAACCCCTTGAACGAGATGGCCCAGTGGCTAGGCCGTGAATTTTGACCGGACGGTCCGTGATTCGAGCCTGAACTCTGTCTCTCGACTTTTCCTGCCCGGGTTTGAACAACCTGGCAGTATCCCAGCCCTCGCGCTTTCTTTTGGTGGCATGGCAGTTTGGCACAGGAAGGGTGCTATAGCTGAACGATGGAGTACAACCCACGAAATCCGGAGCTATCGACAGAGCAGACGCACTTCAGAAAGAATTACACGATAGCTTCCGTAAAAGAGTTTCATGAAGCTCAATTAATATTTGAAGGCCCAGATACCTTAGAATCTGAAGACAACTGTTGCGTGGCATGCATCAGCAGCATGTAGTTACACTGTCCCAACACAGACAGGAAGGCTTAGTGCAGACTTTGTGTCGTTTCAGATCACTTTCCATGATCTATAAGTCTTTATGAGTAAATCCATTTCGTTCCCCTCCAGTGCTTGTTGCTCTATCACCTGTGTGTCTCAAAATGCAACCAGTTAAATTGTTGTTTTGGTGTTTCATTGCACGAGTGCTGACCACCGAAAGCCCCATCCTCTAAACACCCACTGGCGAGCATTTCAAGGAAATAGAATCTCAACGGACAACAAGAACCATAAAAGCGTCAGACTACATAACGTGAAAAGCGACTCACCATTCGCCGATAAGCAGCGCAGCCACTAGCAACCCAAGCACGTGTGTGATTGGTCGGTGGGCTTGTTATCTCCCAGGGAGCCCTGATTGATCGAAACTGTGGGTCAACATACTCTCGAGTGTCTACTGAATGACGACGGAAGATAACACGTCCGGATGGAGGCGGAATTTCCAGGGATGTCTACGTCACCTACGGGCTGCACACGGTATTTTAACCTGTTTTGGGTGTTTAATGAACTACTGCTTCTGCCGGAAGCACTAATTAGAGGTAAACCAGACAGGAAACCGGGCTGCACCATAGCAACAATTTGAAGCAAGATAAATGAAACCCATCAAACAGCTCACTGAGTGACCGGGCGTCCAGCCATCAGCATAAATGAACTTTATATTTCCTCAGCTGACGCGGAGTTCGAAGTTGTCACATTTGACGCCCGGATTAAGCTTCACGAAAACCTGCCAGATGAAGTGGACATCCGACCCGGTAATTGAAGTGAGTTGATTCAGATGACGATTAATTTTTGTGAAACCACACCATCGACTCTCAGCTTCTCGTAAAGTCGATGCATGTCGCGGCCACATTCATCCGGCCTCCTGGAGCTGCACGCAGTTGAGCGGATGCAGCGAACTCCGCCACCTCGGAAATTGAGCAAGGTCACCACAGTTCTTTGTCATTTAAGTGAGCGCTGGCATGCCAACTACAGCCGGCTGATGGATTATAGATATGCCACGACGTTCAAAGTTGGTTGAACCTGCTGAAAACGGCCTCTGGCTGTGCGTCGCTACAGTGGCCCAGTTCGGTTTCAGCTCGCTTCATGTTCCGGCATCCCACTGCTCAATGGCCGAACATGGAAACAAATTGATAAGCATCGTGAGTATCTAACGAACGTTGATATTTTGTGGCTATATATAGGACTGAACAGGTAGATCGGTTTTTACCAAAGCTTTACTGGATTGACTAACCGAACCACTGACAGAAGAATGTAGATTTGATGCCCTAAAATTTTATCAGATTGGACACTAAGAGCCCCTGAAGAGCTTATTCCCGCCACTTGCAACCAAAAGCATAGTGCAGCCAGAGTCAGCGATGCATAAACTCACTTTCCATGGCGTTTCACCGAGGGTGTGTGGTAGAACCATGTGTCCATGTCAGCCGATGTTTATGAACCGGGGACAACCGAACCCTCTTATTCTGCGTCTTGGGATAACCGTTAGACCGAAAACTCAATTACGTTGTTCAGTCTTCCTCTGTGTCATCTAGACACTGAATAAGCTACAGACCGTTTATATCCTTAAAACGATCATGCACAACGATACGGTTTGTCGATAGTGACTTGGTACGATTCATGGTACGATCCAATCCATAGAAGACCACCCAACAGGCTTCAGCCCTATACTCGACAAGCACGTATGAGCTTTGCAGTCGCCGGATTATTTGGTCTTGCGCATACCCACAAGGAAGAACTCTGCAAAGAACCATTAAGCTGAGGCCTAATTGCGAATCTGAGTCACAGAATAATCTATGGTAAAACTGACTTTCAATGAGCGCAGCTATTTGATTAAACATCGCCAATTTTCGGTCCATCTCAAGAGAACGCCGAGATTCCATGCGGAAGGACGCTTTCGCTACTCAACTCGCCTGAAAACCTTTTCTTCTAGCCCAGAGAAATTGTGAGAGAGCTTCGGTGATTCGTTTCGTCATTTTCGAAAAAAAACGATATGGAGCGTGCCTTCATGCGGTCAATGGGGTGCCTAGCCATCAGCAATTAAATGTTGCGGGCCAAATTTTCTAATGTCTTCTTTATACCGCTCGGTAGCCTGGTGCGCTTAACCAAACCGGAAATTCGCTGAACGTGCAAAGAAGCTAATTTTTTGAACTTTGACGCGTATATCCATGTATGCGCAGCTAAAAACGGGCTGCTGATAAAGATCACGCGTAAAGCACCAGGCTCGTACTTCAAGGACAAGTGAAGAATAACCCATTACATTTGTCTTAAAGAATATGGTTGTATTACCAGCATTTGTTTAGCCAAATCATTTTGGAAACCGTTCCGCTGATATGGAGGATATCGACACTGGCCGCACTCGGCGAATAGTGAATCCACAAACATACACCCGCATTCCCAGCCGCGGAATTTTCATGCCACTTCTTGCTATCACCCACTTGTTTGTGTAAGTCACCGATCGCCTAGAGGCCTCAGTGACCATGAAAGAATGATTGATCAGAAGAATATCTACGTGCCTTTATTCCGTCGAATTTATGCTGAGATCAGTGTAGCACCCCAACTTATAAGCTCTGTAAACGAAAGTGGTTGTGACATGGTTGCTCCACCCTGCATACTTGCCTCAGCGGCGGCCCGATAGCAGCTAGTCGTGCGGTCAGTATGCCGACCTCGGTATGGCATAACTGAAGTCAGAAAAACGAACCTTGGTGGACGTGCATACGGTTTCATTGTATGCCCTGCAGCCGTCAGCCGACATCACCCACCAGTGACGAACCTCCCTCGGGTTTGCAGCTCGATGGTGAGGCTTCAGTGTACATCGTCAGACCCGCCAGCGATGGCGGCAAACTTCCTATAGCCCATCTCAGGAAGCGCTATATTCCTTTGGTGCTAAGTACATGCATATAGGATGCAGCGTTTGGCATATTACTGTTTATTTGTGCACTGTACCGTGGGCCAGCGTACTTATTGAACATTTTTCGCGGCAAAGCGTGAGCTTCATGAACCCTGGACTCATAGGAACCTGCGGAGAAAAATTATGGGTTTGGTTATTCAGTGACTGGCGTGATTTTGATAATTTGTTACCATTTATCCGGCGGATTAGATCCGACTTTTAAAAATTACGCAAGCTATCACGAACTTCGCGCACACAACCATCGTGGAATTCGCAGCATACTGCACCAGCTTTTAAGCAAAAGAGCCTAATACATCTTCTACCACTTCTAAGTGCGACTGAAATGCTCACATGGAGACATTTTAAGTCTCATAAATACCTTGACTTTTTAAATAATTTTCGGTAAAATAACACATCTGAACTTGCCAAGAGAGTTGATAAACGTAAAATGGTGGTATGTTGCAGGTGTTCTTTTAGAAATAATATTGTGCACATTTGCGCTGATTACACCGCACTTGCTGACGCAGACTTTGTTGGTGGCCTGATAATGAATATGTGTTTGCGGTATTGCCTTCGCATGAATAAAGGCATAAGGAAGCACCTGTTCTCGTTACCATGACTGACTTAGCTAACAGCACCAACCTCCGAGAGTTCGTCAGAAAAAAAGGACTAAGATTTCTTGGGGTAAAACCCTTAAGCTTAGGAATACAACCAATTGGTAACTGATCCAATAAATTGTGCACAACCTGGGTTCAAATATGTCGAACTTTAGTGGACGGATTTTACTGACATCGTTCTGAAGGCAACAAGTGATAGCTGGTGGCAGCATCAAAAAATAATCTAATGGCGACGGAAAGAGGCGGCCCGCGTTCATAACCTAAAAGCTACTACACAAACTACATATATAAATTTCTTTCGTGAGCCACTTAGTAGAGTAGGACCGCCCGAAAATACTATGAATAAAGTGAAAGAGTTTAAATGTCGATTGAAATTGCTAAACGTTGGATGAACTCCAGTCTTATCAGACTGCTATGGGCAGGTAAACCAAACTTGCTTCAGAGAGACTCGAATGTCCGGCAAGCATTTGACTCGCGTCATTCATATCAGGCATATTGGCGCGTGAAACTCCGCCGCGTGGTCTAAGATATCCAACCGTATGACCGAAAATTTTGCTCCGCCGTCGACAAGCAGACAAATGGAATTGCCATCCAGATCCACCGGATAAGTGTGCGTCGGAGCTAGCGCATTAATAAGCGTTACATTCTATTGAACGTTCTGGTGAGCACGAGTTCCGGTTTGAGGAACGTATGGACGCAAGGGAGGAATGTTCACTTATGGTAACGATATATTTAAATAAGCTCTCCGTCTGAGCCTCCAAAACTAACGTTCCGTCAATACGACCACAAAAGATGCACAAGATGTATCAGAGCCCAAAACGGAGTCAAGGGCACTTTCACAGCGCGTCAAATGTATAGATTAAGGGGCGACAGCCGTCAAGGACCTCCGATAAATTATGAATCCCACGTTGGCCACCAGCCTTCGGCCAGCCACAATTGGCTGTTTGGTCCGGACCTTCGGTCACTCCGACCACAACTGCATATTGGACCGGTGACCGTTCCGAAAATTTTGCCAGACTTGTGCGGGATAGACTTCTGGACCGCAGTAGCTGATAACTGCAAGCGGTGAAGCGAGATCCATCTGGAATTCCGCCTAGCAGTGATTCATGGAGAAACATATTTGTACGTGCTTGCGACTGACATGAATCTCTTCTGTTCACTTGCTGTAGTCTAAGCAGTGAACGTTTTAAGGTCTACCTCATGCAAGGACCTTGCAGTCACGTTATTGTCAGGTGCACGGGGATGGGGCACACCCATTCGTGAGATTTGTACAGGAAAATAGAATCGAAGTTAGCAGCGATAACGTATAACTGTAAACTCCTGCTATACGGAATGAATTGACATTCCTGAGGCGGCCGCGGATAGTGTAAGTAGTACCGGCCCCTCCTAGTTCATCGCCTTAGAACGGCCACACTTCAGCAAGGCCTTATACATGCAAAACAACTCGGTTAGTCACCTTCGGCTATCGTACACATCTTGAAGTTGTGGGCTGCGACTGAATTATTTTCTTTCCGTCCCACTAGGCACACCTGGGGAGGACGAACGCGCTTCCCGTATGGGTCTTCATTAGTGTTTGACTGAGTAGTATATTTTGACTCCTCAAGTCTTGACTGGCTCAGGTAGTGGCAAACTTCTTATGAGTATGAAGTTGTGGGCTGCGACTGAATTATTTTCTTTCCGTCCCACTAGGCACACCTGGGGAGGACGAACGCGCTTCCCGTATGGGTCTTCATTAGTGTTTGACTGAGTAGTATATTTTGACTCCTCAATCTTGACTGGCTCAGGTAGTGGCCCACTTCATTATGAGTATAGGCACTCGAAGAGAAATAAGGCGCTGCTTCTTACGTATCATCTGCGCCCATCTAGTTAAGGTTTGTGAAGGATAAAAACCATGCAGTATCCAGCCACTCAACAACATATCTTCAGAATTTTCCAAGGTTTTCAGGGAGGCAAGCTTAAAATCCAAAAGCACGACACACATTAAGGGCAAGGGTCGGATCAAGCATTGCATTTACGCAACATCCCACACAATAGGTCTCTGAAAGCACTCCTACAGTCCGCGGCCAGTTCTGCCCTTTTTGGGACTCATCAGTTTACTGCTGTCAAAGTTTCCGTTAAACAGATGTTTTTCTTGGAGTACAATTGCATAGAATTCGACGATGTACGACCACATATCGGAAGCCGTAGCAGGCTGAACACTAGAGTCTGGCACAGAGCATTCAGATGCAGCATTCCTCATAAGCGATAGATTCATCTGCAGTCAGTTGAGTCCGCCTCAAAGAAAATCAGTGTGAAAATGAGAGCATTTGCTCGATCAGAATAAATCTCAATAAAGAAAGCGATTTTTAGTTGTCTGGATATGCTCAGCGAAGTGTTAGGTAAACGTTTTCCCTATACACGTTACGGTCAAGGGGTAAAAACAATACAACGAATATGGGCCGGAGAATCTACTTGTGATTAGTTGCGAACTGGTCTAGAATGTTACTCCCTCAAAGATGGTGCCTTACAGAAGAGTTATGGAAACCTTTTGACCAACTCGATCGATTCCTTGTAGAGGCCCGGACGGCAAATACGCCACAGCCTCAGCAAAGTTGGTTTAGGTTTACATCTATTGATCAACCGATGGCGGATGGAAATAGTTTCACACTCCGAAAATAGAACCTGAGAACATGGTTTGCGCATGAACGAACCAAGCATATGCTTTCTGTGTGAATAAGCTTTGAAAATTTCTGTTGGCCAGAGACGGCTTTCAGTCCGCGTGCAGCCCGGTAAAATCCTGTGAATGGCCACTTTTGAGAAAGCAATCTCAGATGGTCTGAAGCTCCCTGAGGGCCACGAAAGCGAATTCATGAAAGCCGACGTGTCTTACGGCAGGATGGCCGATCAAACAGTTAATCAGTGACCACCGGAAACGCTCCATACGTTCGTACCTGTCTTGGTAATCGAACTAACCAATCACCAACAGCCATGGGTCAAGGTCAACAGAAAATTCCACATCGGCCTCTGCGGTTTCACATTCGCTTGCCGTTGCGTAAGTCCTCCCACCTCCAGGATTTCTGAACTGGTACTGTAGTTATTTAGAATACTGACCGCCGTCTGTCGGTGAGCGACTCCGGATCGAACGTTGATACAGCTACAGTGCGCTCGAAATTGGTTCCATTTCCCGTGCATATAGGCACGCACATTTTCTAACGAATTATTTCGCTTTTCGGCCTCTACCGGTGGAGCGAATTTTTTCACACAATTATATGCCGTACACCCGACGGGTTCTCCGCATTTGTTGCTGCACTCACGTATTCACAAACGAGATGCAATCCGTGGCACCGTTTCCTTGATGGCCATCAACAAATCTTGCCAGACGAACGAAGCCTTTATCCATCGAACAGAAAACATGGAATGCAGCGCCACATTTTGCTTAACGCGCGTGTAAAGAATAACTGGGTATACAGACTATTAAGCTGACATATTAGCTCGAGATGGCCCCATGGTCCAGCCACCAGTTCAAGGACCGCAATTTCCTTGGTTGGAACTCAACTTCAGCATCTCGATTGCTCCTTTCCGCGCCAGCCTCCCAGCCCTCGTGCCTCCCTCTGTTGGCATGGAAGTTAAGCGCCTAAAGTGCGCTTCAGCTGAACGTCTTTCTTCTCTTAGTAGAGGCCTCTTTGGGCATGTTGCGCAACTCGACTTCTTTATCTCCTCAGCTTTCTAGACTCATCACGCTTCCCTTTCCGACTAGATGCTCTTTTTCACCTGGCTGTCAGTTCGTCTGGTATGAATCGTTCTTTCAACCAGAGGAATACGCATCAGAACTTCAAACAATTTTAGTGTTACTAAGACTCCAGTGCTTAGATCTAGCTGGCTGAATCTTTCCACAACCGGACCTCCATAAATCTTAAAGTGTTTGGGTCAGTACACTCCAGCGGAGGTCCACATTCGAAAAACGTATTTACTTAAAGGGACTTCAGTAAGTAATTTTGGCGGGTTTGCTTTAAGTCAATTGCGAGGCAAGATGTGCACGTCTTGCGCACCTCTAAAGAGCATAACCTGAAGCAGCCATGAACCCACAGCCATGGCATGCGGGGGGCACCATGTGGCCTAGCGGCTTCGGTTGTTTCGGAAGTTCTTAATGCACAGAAACGGTCCGTGTTCAGTACAAAACTGCAACATTCTTTTGGCCTTGTCCCTGCGTCTCGATTCCAGCCCAGGACAACCCCTATCATGTGAGCCTCAACAGTGCTATGTCTACCTACTTGTGTGCTCACCACAACAACCACCACATCTGTCCACAAATATTTTGTCTGCCAGAGACTTGGCTACGTCCTGATGTTGAGGACAAGGATGCCCCCATCTGGGGATAATTGCGAGTTCTTAATCATTTCAGGGACGGTCTAACCTCTGACTTATACTTACTAGAGACTACCACCTTTTTTTGAACCCCTATGTAAATTCAGGAGCCCAGCATAGCATCGCCAGCGTTAGGTGTAATATGTCGTCCGGATTAATACGCAAACTTAAGTCCCATCTCGATTTTCCATTGATACTTCTGGGGAACTTCAATCTTCCCAATGTCGAGTCAACCGGTCCGACTCACAGCCAACTAGACCACGATTTTATGCCTCCATTGTGAGCACGGACTGGCGGGAACTACCTTAGCTAAGTAGTATCGACATGAGCTAGCCCGAATTGTCTCTGATCGGGTTGGCATAATTCGGGCAACGGGCATTGGATGAACATTACAAAAGGTATAAGGAGCCATGTTGATGGTGTCCAAAGTTGTTTTTCTGACTTCCCTGATGTAGTTAAACGACCATTGAATATCGTCAAAACCGCTTACCCTGGCCAATGCTAGAGAATCCATAGCGAGTGACGAGTACGACGCATCTAGGTACTCAGACGCCAACTAGTGGACAGTCTACGGAAAGACCATTATCACTGGAGGACAACTGTCAGTGAAAAGATAAGTGAGAAAGCTCATTCATTCACTCGCGAAAGCATCGATGGGAGGATGAGCCGAGCATTGTGAAAGACAGCCTCGCTAGCATTTTGCAACAAAATAAAATCGTTCATCTGTATCACCCTTTCATTGCCTATCTGACATGTCGAAGAAGGAAGCACGAGGGCTGGGATACTGCCGGGTTGCCCAACCCTAGACAGTAGCAGTCGGGATGCTGAGGTTGGGTTCAAATCACGGAGCTTCCGGTGCTTAAGCTCCTTAACCGATGATCTTCTTGCAACACAGATCCTGGAAATACCGCATACGTATGGATGGAATTTATACCTTGATTGCTCACCCAAAGAGGGAGCATAGTACGAAGTGTGCACTCTAACGCACAATAAAGCACTAGGACTGGATGGTTTGTATCAAGCCTTCATCAAAGAAGGTCGGGAATCTCGGTACTCACCTAACCAAACCCATTGCTGCTACGTGGAATGAAAAGGGAGTGTCCGCACGGTGGGGTATCGTCATCATCATTGAGCGTAATACCTTAGATCACAGATACTTAACTGAATCAACAGTCAACTGCTCCAACAGTCATTTGCTTCGGTAGTCATCTATCTTCAAAAAAAGACGCAAACACTGAAAAACATTATGACATTAGTTTGGTTGCTGTGGCATCGGAGGTGCTCTCTGGTCTTATCCCTCGAAAGTTGACCAAACATGAAGAAAAGCAGATCCATGAGAGCAAGATGGATTCTCTCCTGCAAGCGGATGTATAAAAAAGTGGATGTATTGACCACATATCCACTGACAGATTATGTAGCAGTGGTACTCGTCGCAGCAACTACCAATGGTATTATTTTTTGACTGCAAAACTTCCTTTGAGTCTGTTAGTCGTCGGTCACTATGTCAGTTTATGGGGCAAAAATTTCCCCATATCATTGGAGCAAACACGGATTTTGGAAAATATGGGTGCTTAGAATTTAGAGTCATGGAAAAAATCTTTCACCTGTAGCACCCTTTCGGTGCCTAACTGCCATACCACCCGAAGGTTGCACGAGGACTGGGATACTGCCAGGTTGCCCAAGCCCCGTCTTGGTATTAAACACAGGTGTGATATTGGCTGAGGAGCAGGTGTCGCTTCCGTACTTATACCTTGTTTGACTCAGCACATAGCCTTTCAGATTATGAAGTTAATTTCTTCGGGCAGTTCATTATAATTTCCCAGCCACACAGCAGCAACCGTATGAAAGTTTTTCTTGTGATTAGACTGGGGAACTCATAGTACTGTGCTGTAGCTCGAGACAGTTCAGTGGTTGAGGCACGAACTCACTAACCAGAATCGTTCAGGTGTAGCATCCTTTCGGTGCCTAACTGCCATGCCACCAGAAGGAAGCACGAGGGCTAGGATATTGCCAGGTTGCCCAGCCTGGACGAGAGGCAGAGGTCGGGTTCGAACCGAGGACATTCCTGTCAGTAAATTCGCGCTCTCCCGCCCTTCACTACCACAGACTAATCGGTATATGTGTGGTTCGAACCCAATCCCGGCATCTAAGCTGATCTTGTCTAGTCTCGGGTAACCTGACATTATCTCAGCCCTGGTGCTTCTTTCGGATGGCCTGGAAGGTAAGTATCAAGATGATGTTACGGCTGAACGAATACACTATTGTCATTATCACCCCTTAACATGCTAGGGGGCTTGTTAATTTTAGGTTTTCGTTGATCGCTCTTGTGTTTTCAACCAGAGGTTTAAAAAAGGTACAAAAGTTGCGGCGTACGTCTTTCCGAGTGAATAATGTCGATAATTGACCCTCATTGATGTTTACTGCACTGCAAGCTTATTTACTACCCGTTTGGTTTATGTAGCTCTTTGAATTTACCCTCGCTTCTCGCCACTTGTTCCCATATTGGTATGTTTGTTTTGTAGTTAAAATGAAGCCAAGATTCGATTCCGCAGAAAAACTAAAGAAGAAGCTGAAGAAAATCAAAGAAAAACAAGTCAAACCGTCCACACCTGATGTCTCGTCTTGCGAAAGAGTTGAGCAACTTCCCGGTTCTGAATTACTACTCAGTGGGTCATTTGCGGACCTACCTGTCTCCGAACCCATCAAACGAGCCGTGGCGAATATGGGGTTCAAAGAAATGACCGAAATACAAAAACTCTGTCTGCCTCAGCTATTGGAACATCGGGATGTGATGGCATGTGCAAAAACTGGCAGCGGGAAAACTTTGGCGTTCGTCATTCCTGTTGTTGAGTTGATGCTCCAGCTAGGCTTACAGCCCAGAAATGGCACCGGTGCTATTATAATTTCACCTACTCGAGAACTGAGCCTGCAGACTTACAGCGTTTTACGGGTAAAATTATCTTTTCCTATCCAAACTTAATTTTGCAGGAGGTTACACAGTTCACTTCACTTCGTATTGGCTTGATAATGGGTGGCAGCAATCGTCATACAGAGGCACAGAACTTGGAGAAAGGTGTCACAATCTTGGTCGCTACTCCGGGCCGGTTGTTGGACCACTTGACCAATACTAAGAATTTTCTTCGTCACAACTTGAAAGCTTTGGTAATAGACGAGGCTGATCGCATGCTCGATATTGGATTTGAGGTCGAAATGCGTCAGATCATACGGCTTTTACCGTCAGTTCGTCAGACTATGTTGTTTTCGGCCACTTTGAATGCGAAGACCCGCCATCTTGCGAAGGAGGCCCTGAAGACAGACTGTGCGATGATTGGGCTCCAACCAGAAGGTGATGCTACTGTTGAAGGCTTGGAGCAGGGTTACGTGGTGTGTGCCCCAGAAAAGCGCTTTTGCCTTTTATACACATTTATCAAGAAGAACAAAAATAAAAAGGTGAGTCAGACTGAAATGAGTGTGGCCATCCAGGTGAAAGTTTTTAATGGAGTCGTCCTGATAATTTCAGTAGACTGTGTGCTTTTTGTCGCCACACCATTATGTTTATCGGCTTTGTAATCGACTTTCATTTATGATCATACATATATTAACCTTTAATCTTATTAGATCCCACTATAAGTACACCGTTTCCGCTTGTAGACCACCACAATTGCTTCAGTCATTCAGTTACTCCACGTAGGATCTTTTGCACTATACCGTTTATTAGAACCTTGGTGATGAATTTTTTCCTGAACTCTTACTATGGCCGGTTTTCTTCCAGAAATCCAACCCTGGCCTGACACTTGCACACACCTTTCTCAACCTTGATCTTTGACGCAACTCATCCAAATTGAGTGTTAATTTGATCGTTCATCTAATAATAAAGAAAACGACCTTCAACAAACAATAGTGAGTGATTCACTGAAAGCCACTCCACCTGCTAGGAATAACGCGGCTAGTTTATCAGATTTTTATAGTCGCTTATTGCTCCCAATCAATCAAGGAACGCTACTCGTGCATCGATAATCGGTCAGCAGTCGTTCATCTGTAGCACCCTTTCGTTGTCTTACTGCCATCCCACCAGAAGGAAATGCGAAGGCTGGGATACTGCCAGGTTGCCCAAGCCAAGATAGGGGAAGTCGAGAGGCAGAGTTCGGGTTCGAACGACGGACCGTCCAGTCAGTAAATTCGCGCTCTAGCCACTGGGCCATCTCGGTCAGCAGCTATTGGCTTATATTCATTTCGAACCCTATTCGTCAGCACGTATCACTATGTTAACTACGCAGGTCAACCAATCGTACACTCCGGAAAAACTCTTATGTGTACATTGCTGTTGCCGTGAGTCGGCGGGAATTTGTCTCAAGACTACACGATCATTCATCCCCACACCTTTCCAAGAGCTGACCACGGTTTCGTCGCGTGAAATCTGACCTCTTTTTGTTTGAGAGCCTGTGGGGCATCATAGGACCTCGAGGTTGGAAATTTGATACACCCAAAACTAATTAAGCCTCTGGTTTGAAACGGCAGTTTATCAAATAAGGCGTTGGTCAGACATTCACCGCACAGCGAAATGAACTAGAGAGACAAGAAGCCCGAAATACATCACTGCAAAACCATCGATGGTATCACTTCACATGACAGCCGTTTCGTCGTGCATAGTTTCCTCTGTTTGATGCTTCTAGGTCACTTCCTTCAAGACATATCCCTTAAGTGCTGGATTTCCTTGCTGATAATATCCTCATCTACCGTTCTTCCATCCAGTGTAGGTGAAATGGTGAAAAAACGTGATCCTCAAATTCTGTCTTTCGTTCCTCAAAACTTCGTAGGTTGTGGGAGATGCCACCACCACCTTCCGCGCGTTTACTCACCAGTTCCATCTCTCTGCCAGCTATTTACGGTTTCCAGTCTATTTACCAGACCACGAGTTATTATTGCACACTACTTTTATCACCGCTTTATAGGTGATGGTCTTCATGTCATCGTGTATGGAAGTGAAGTTTTATTATGAGCTGTTGAACTTCGTTGACACTCCTGTGATGGCCATTCATGGACGTCAGAAGCAAGCAAAACGTACAAGCACGTTTTTAAACTTCATCAAGGCTGAATCTGCTGTTCTTCTGTGTACAGACGTCGGGGCTCGTGGACTGGACATACCAAAGGTATCACGGATTTTTCTATGACGACTGTTTTATCTGTTAATTGTGTGACTCCACTTTTGTAAGTTCTGAGGTTAGCCTCTTCGTTCTTGAAGGAACAGTGTGTTTCTGGTGTACCCCATTAACTAATCCTATAGAGCCATTTTTTGGCACCTTGAACTATTGTGGCTGATTTGCCATACTCAAATTGGTGATCGAGTTTCACACACGCGGCATTTTTCACTTGCAACTTAGTATGCACATATCCAGTTGCCATATCAATTTCCAATTTGTCTTTCTCATGTAAATGTGATATATCGAGTCGTCTCAGTGATGGAGGTGCGAGGCTACTGTTCGGTAGGTCCATGGTTCAAATTCAACTTTGACTTTGCATTTTCTACGATCTAACCTGGCAGTATTTCCTCTGTAGTTCATTCGAGTTGTATGACAGCCAAGTACCGAGGAGTCACCACAAGTGGCCGATTACTGTCTTTAAAAATGCGGAAGTGTTAAAATCGACTACTTCAAGTTCTGGGAGGAGCGTTTGTTTTATTTTCACACGTTGGTTGTTACATAGCCTCGCGGAGCTCTGATATTTAGTATGGTGTGGCTAAAAAGTTTGGCCAATTCTCCTTTCTTCATTTGACTGTGATGTATTTCTGAACTCCGTACTTGTTTGCTTGTGTTATCAACTAAGCTTCTTGCAGCTGCATGTGTGAATTGCAAGGGAATGCACTTCGTGCAATCCTCCGTTGTGCCCTAAGCTTTCCTTTTAAATGGGAGTTAGTAATTTGGCGATTATTCCTAGTGAGCACGCATTTTCTGTCCTTTAGACGGAACCCATAGGGATCAAGGCGGGCCGTTATGGCTCTACACTGGTCAATCAGTTCAGAAAATGATCTAGTATTCTTCACTGGTGAGAAGCACTGACTCCCGGACAATGATAAGGAATGGAATGGGTTTAACGTTGGACTGATTGTAGTAGGGCTAAGGGACATAGAGTATTTTATGTTTCCTTTATAAACACTGCATCTCCCCGACACCTTGTTTATCATTACATACTCGCCCTCGGAGTAGTATCCTTTCCAATTTTATGGCTTCCTCTGGCCATTGCGTTCATACGACTGAATCGCACATTCCCATTATCCGGTCCCATATCTCCTTTTATCGCCCTCGTATGGGTTGATTTTTCCGGAACTGCATTCAGCTAAAAACATTTCAGGAGGAAAATGTTGGTAGCTCAGGTAGCGTAGATGGTCGTTGGCTTGTTCGCTGCGCTGCGCAATTTGATTGCAAACGTTTCATCACCAATCGAGGTGACGTCACCAGTGCGTTATTGGGGAGCGCAGTGGTGGGTATTATGCCCACGGTTCAGGAGCTAAGGCAGAAGTTTTTGACAAGAAAGTACCTGGTTCGATTGGAGGACTCTTTCCACGTGTGGTGCAATTGCCTGGTGAGGTTAACGGTAGAATTTCAAAGTAAAGCTAACAGGCTAAACTATGAGCTGCCTAATGATTTTGCTACCTTCGGTCAAAGTACTGAAGTTTTCCATAAAAAACAACCAACCATTGTTTCAGACATCTGTGTACAATGGCCTCGTAAGCTGTGACCTCTACCAGAAATCAGCCTTTTGCGTTACTTTGTCGAACAGCTAGCAAAGACTTTTCTAAATTGCTCCCATCTTAACAGGGCTTGTAAACGCTTGAAGTGGAATTTTCGGGGTAGTAACTTGTTTGAATCTAAGGTTCATAAATAATAACCAGACTGGGTGTGCGGGACACCATCTGAATCTCGTTTTGAACGCAGCTAAGTAGACCCAGACTTGATAGCTTCTCCAATCGCGCCTTGAAGAGTGCTGGTGGAAGTCAACTGAATTTCTCTGTTTATTACCCTTCACAGGTGGACTGGATTTTACAATACGACCCACCAGATGAAGCCAAAGAGTACATTCATCGTGTTGGAAGAACCGCTCGAGCTGGAAGTGAGGGGAATGCACTGCTTGTGTTGCGTCCACATGAGCTAGAATTCCTCGCCATCCTGCGACAAGCTCGCGTGAAGGTGGTTGAGTATGAGATGGCTCAGTCCAAGCTGGCTGACGTCCAGCCAGCTCTGGAAAAACTGGTGAGCACGAACTACTTCCTGGCTTTATCGGCGCAAGAGGCATTCAAAGGGATAGTACGGGCTTACGCCTCATCCAGCTTGCCTTGTTTTAATGTGGATCAACTTGATCTCGCTGCCCTGGCGCGCACCTGTGGTCTTCAGGTTGTGCCGAAGGTGGATTTGATGGTGAAACCAAGGAAATCTAAAGGTTTAGGTGGCAGCAAGCACTACACTCCATTTGGTGTCTCGGGTAAAAAGGCAAAGAAAGCGAAAATTTACAAACGCATTAGCTGATTTCTCGCCTTTTGTTGATTGTGTACATACAAACCTAAAGTAAATCACTATTACACTTGTGTCGATTCTTTCTGCCCCCTCAAACATTCGTCAAAAGAAAAAGAAATGCCCGTTTAACTTCGACTGCATTCGCTTCGAAATTTATTGATTTAGGAATATCCTGGATGAGTGGTTTACTTTTGATAGATAGCACACTTAAATGAGTGTTAAGCTTGCAGGTCCGCGAGTGCATGAGTCAATCGACGAGACCTGTTTCAAATGACAAGCTAAATTGACTTCAGCCTGTGTAGATTAGTGTTGTAAACTGTGGGTTGGATCTCCGTGAAACGACGGGACTGACTGTTCACTCCCCGCGCTACCGTTTTCGAATGTTATGGGGCCCTGCTGAAGTCCGTCCGCACTGTTACCGGTCACGTTACATGACGAGAAGATTGAGACTAGTCCAGCAGGTAGTCAACAAGTCCGTTTGACTGTGGATGGAATTCCCATCCACGTATCGACCGCCATTGACGCCCTTGCAACATTGAGTGCCGTATTTTTATTGGATATCGAATGCCTGGGTCCGGCTTCTCACTGTGACGCACATTCGTCCGGCCGTTGCTGACATTCTCCACTGTTTAACTCCTGTACGGAATCTCATCACAATGCACACTGGTGTTTTTTCTATTTATGGTTTGCTACACACGGCTGCATTAGTTCCCTCTCGATAGGCCAAATTTCCCGCAAACAATGGAATTTTTCTTTTTGTGATGAACCGCTCACTTGACAATCGTTCCATCACACGTGTACTTTGTTTTTCACCTTCGGTTTGTGTACACAAGGCGGAAAATGGGACGATCCATGGAACACCAAAGTAATCTGACTCCTAATCACCGTATATTAGTTACACAAGGTTGAATGCTGAGCGCAGATAACGCTTGGAAAATGGTGGTGGGTTACTGTCTTGCGGTGCACTGGCAGCATCTGAAATCCCTCACTGACTGCTTCCGCAGGTCACAACGCAGAGTATCTAACGGTAACGTCTTCAAGACTTTCACAACAGGCCAATGAATATAACTCCAAAATTTGCAGAGTAATAAGGATAACATACAGCACTGACCAGTATGACAAAGGAGGCCAGAAGTTGTTTAAACTGGTGCGGAACCAATATATTAAGTTATCAATTATCCGCAGCTGTTCGGATGCCTTAAGGACTAAAAAATGACCTGGATCTACCTGCAAAGCCGCGGTGGCTCAACTATGATTTGTCTTGGGATCCTCACAAGGAAACCCGACAACCCAGCATCCCTACATCCAATTGCGTCATGACACAATTTAGAATGTACGGAAATGTTGAACGCACGTGCAGTTAGTTTCATCCGGTGAGCGGTGGTAACCATAAAAGGCTACCATGACCAACCTAAAATTGCTCATCTCTCCAATGGGAGGTGAGGATAGGCGATAACCCACGGGATACCTACGTTTCCTGAATGTCTGCTCTTATAACCTGTGCCACCTCTGTCCAACAGTGTGCAGCACCAAATTACTCCAGTTTCCAACAAAACAAAAAGAGAATGTGAAATAAGTGAGTTGTTATATTATTGAAAATCACCTAGTTATCTGGTTAAGAGCATATCTGAGACCGTCAGAAAGTAAGTCATGTACAAATCATTGGGAACAGTAGCTAGCGTATTTGACCGTTAGTGCCAGGATCTCATCGTATACCTCTCGAGTGTCCAGGTGTGGTGGAGGGTGACGGTTCAACTCCAGCAGTTTTCGTGCTTTTGTTAGCCAGACACCCGCTTCCTTGTATTCCCACCGACTGATGCAACACTTCGCGAGGTACAACTGATTGGCTGCATAGTGATCTGGTTTGAGGCGTTCCGCCTGGAAAAAACGGATAGGGTGGAGGTTCAACACTAAAAACATTATGTTCTATTCATGGTCAACAGCAAGGCCAACGACTCTTTCTGTACCAGTATAAGGTGAACATAAGGGAACAAAGATATGGAGGAAGAAATGGTGTTATGCTACTGGTTTATCTGTGATCTGTAAGCGACATCCCACGGCATATCGGAAACGCTGTGTGCTGAGTTAACGTTCGCAGTGAGCGTGGATGGTTGTATATTGACGTTTGTTTGAAGGTTGTCTTATCATTCAATGCTGTCTTCTCGCTACGCTGCAGACTCAATCAATTTCATAAGGTAGGAAAACCGGTGTTTTTTTTAAAAAAACACTTTAGGTTACAGTTAACGTTCGCAGTGAGCGTGGATGGTTGTACATTGACGTTTGTTTGAAGGTTGTCTTATCATTCAATGCTGTCTTCTCGCTACGCTGCAGACTCAATCAATTTCATAAGGTAGGAAGACCGGTGTTTTTTTTTAAAAAAAACACCTGTTTTAGGTTACAAGATAGGGAACAACAGATCCATAGTTTACCATCGAATGATCAACCAACTAAACTTTAAAAAACATTTCGCGGACAAATTTGCTGCATAGAAGTGATGGATGTTGTGAGAAGGTATTAGTTGCTTGTCAATACGGAATGCTGTTGACAAAGGAGTCCTCGTAAGGTTGGGAGACTACTGGTCCCATCACAAGGAAATACGATTACATGACCACAATGGTTATCGACATATTCTATCAGTAGTAAGTCTAACATTCGAGTCCTAGATTTCACCATGGACTCGATTTCCTGCTTGGATGAAGTTAGCCATGGATTGTGTGGGGTCGAGAGTGAACAAATGGATGATGCAATATAGTTTGTAGAGCCGGAAGTAGCCAGGCCACATCCAATCGCAGCCATAAAACGCCATACAATGTGCCTGAGATCTTAAAAGCGCAGCTATAAGTAGTACAGTTCAGTCCAGCTCGCATTACTACCTGATGTGTACAGTAGCTTAATATGGGACATATGGAACTACCGACGACATTTAGACTTCAGGGAGTTAGGGAGTCTAATAATGAACGGGAAGGGGATCAGTGGACGGTATGCATATTTTATAGGACCAGTACGGAGCTTGCTACAATACTGCAGAGAAACAACGAAGAGTTTATTTCGACTGTAAGTCAGTTTGACGAAATTCCCTAAACAGATAGTCCATCGAATGAAGGATTGCCAAAATCAAGTGAAGAGTATCTGATCTCAACGCAGATGGAGGGCTCTTGGTCAGGCTATTTCGCAAAACCGCACTTCCCGAATCTAAGCACTAAAATACAAAAGCGTGGCTGTGCGAGGCTATTCGTCTTTCCATCATGTCCGAATTTGATTGATTTTCTTGATGACGTGCTGCACATCGAAAGTACGGTTTACGGACCTTGGGTTTCTCAGTCTGCTCTCCAAAAGTTATCTCAAATCACGTGCTGTTTCAGTCCGTGATTGATTTTTGGTAGGGGTAACTGTGGTGGTCCTTCCAGTTTTCAACTTCTGTTGAGTTGGAAGCAATGGTCAATAATAATAGATACGATTCCTTCGTTCGGCAGAGATCGAAATCTAATCCTAATTAAAAATGGAAGCACATTTTCATTAAACGAAGACCATATAGAGTCACTCAGCTGTACTAAAGTTAGGGAAAACTACCTGGTAAAGACATTGTTTGAACCTCATACTGAACCTTAGTTCGGGCCAAGGGCCACCTTCCGAGGCACATCTACACCAAAATCCCCTCAGTAGCTATCAGAATCCTCGTCCGTCCTGTTTGATTAATGTACACTCACGTGTCCGCATGTTTATGAAATGCCACTTGAAAGTCCAGTAGATGCTAGCAAAGTACATTCGTTTGCATACCAATTTGGTTTTCACGGGAGAAAAAACTGTCTCTTTTATTAATATTCAGCAACCTTATGAGCAGTGTGTCACGTCTATTTACTGAACGTTTTTTCAACTACGCAAACCAATCACTTGTTTTGTGTGAAGCTTAACGATGAAATAGCGACAAGCTTGGCCACTGGTTATGTTCGGTATCCTATGGCCTAGCTTGAAGTTAGCATCCCAGGTTGTGCACGTAATTCTTGCTCTGTTCAATGAGCTGGACACTTCCGCCGTGGACGTTTGGTCATCAACTGAGGTGAGACCATCGAAGTATCGTAGGCTAGTGGTAGGCCGCGCTACGCATTAATGTCATCGTGATTCGTAACGAAACGTCAGCGAAAGAATTCCCGGGGCGAGATGGCGCAGTGGTTAGAGGTCGTAGGCTAGTGGTAGGCCGCGCTACGCACTAATGTCATCGTGATTCGTAACGAAACGTTAGCAAAAGAATTCCCGGGACGAGATGGCGCAGCAGTTACAGGGCGAATTCACTGACCGGTCCGTGGTTCGAACCCGACCTCTGCCTCTGGACTTCCGTCTAGGCTTGGGCAACCTGGCAGTATCCCAGCCCTCGTGTTTCCTTCTGGTGGCATGGCAGTTAGACAACGAAAGGGTGCTACAGCTGGACGAAACGAATTCCACAGGTTATATATATATGTATAAAGTGCACTACTTTGTTCCCGTTAGATGGGCAAACAGCGACTGCTCGAATATCGGAAGAACTCTGAGCTTCAGTATGTTGCAACTCAGATGCAGTATGGACTGCAACATTCACAGGGTTGCATTATGCGAAGTGGCATAAACCGTTGCTCATATACAATTAGGTTCTCCCGGTTTTCACACTCGCTTTGTATTGGTTTAGGAGAGCAATTTTTAAAACAGATTCATCAGACCGCACAAGATAGCAGACCCCACATAATTTACTCATGCCGTTTGTGCCTTCCAATGTCGCGACCAAATCAAGCCAGATATGGTGATAAATTTGATGCCTTTGCGCCGGTATCTCACTAACTTGAACTGTTCTGTATAGTCTTTTGGTATTTCTTCAGTAGGTAAGATCCAAGTTATGGGATACTTCAGTGCAGGGAAGAATGCAATGAAATCCACCCAGAAAGAAATGGTACGATGCGTTTAAAAAACCCATTACTAACCACCCGAAACAAAGACTACTTATATTCGTACGAATGTCAAGCGGAACTATCGTGTTACCATAGGGGACTAGGAAACGAATATTCTGCAGAAGGCTTAACAGTCATTGGGTTCAATTACCTCAAAGGGAACCAGCGACTTTCGATTGTCAGAAGTTAGGTGCAAAAAATGACAGGCATGTGTGTGGAGTCTAGATAAGACATGCAGTTCCCACACAATGGGGTGTATTGCGATACACAAGAAAACCGATACCTGATAGTTACAGGTGACACTGGAGTACCCGGGTTTTCTAAGAAGCCACACCTCTGAGATCCAGCCAAGTCATCAAATCGAAGGGGTGTTCCAGATGGACTAGAATTCTATTGAAACCGAAAAACAAAATTTCATCAGGGCTCTAAAAGCACCTGAGCAAAATCAAGCGAAGCCTGCAACTACTCAGGATTGGATTGGAACCCCATATGCACGTAGGAAAGATGTCGATTAAAAAAGTGCGAATAGCTGGGAATCGCTAATTGTCAACTTACTTCCTGAAGACTGTCTGTTGCTTCTTCGAGTGTTGCGGTTGGTGGAGTGGCAAACAACCTGGCTGAAAACTGTCGCTCTACCCAGGACAGATTGTAGACCTGCAAAAGGAACATGTCATGGTCTCCATGTGAGAAACAGTCATATCGGAGGACGGTGACTGAAATTATTCAAAATCATCTCTGCAGAGAATAGGTGGTTGCTTACTGAGTTGAATATTGTGTACACGAGATGGCTCAGTGGTTAGGGCGTGAACTTACTGACCGGAAGGTCGCGGTTCGAACCCGATCTCCGCCTCTCGACTTCCCCCGTCTAGGCTCGGACTACCTGGAAGTATCCCAGACCTCGTGCTTTCTTTTGGTGGCATGGTAACTACGCACCGGACGACTGTGTACAGTGAAACTCACCCAAGGAGGAGAAGCAATTTTCGCGAAAGGGGTTTCACGGAGACTTGAGCAACTCCTCCTCATTATCATCAACATCGACAGCATGACATCAGTGTTCAACACCGATGCTTCGCTGCCATACAGGTTGTACGTGGGGTGGGATACTACCAGGGCACCCACACCTAGCCAGGAGGACGATTAGGGTCCTCAACCAAAGCCTTTGGCTCAGAAGCTTGACCACAAGGCAGCGGTGTTTGGCGAGAAATGCAAATGCACTACCAGTTAAACGGAGCAAGCCCCCACATGTTCCAACCCCTATCTTGGAGGACCAGGAGACTGTGTTCGTCAGACCTCTAGCCATTGACTAACCTGGTGTGAGACTCTGTGAGTGTTACGGGGACACCCGCCAGTATAGCTCAATGGGTTGATGAGGTGTGCAGACCGTTTCACCACGGCATTGTCCAGTCTCTTCGTGACGTAAGAAACTACCCAATATTTGGGAGGGGGCGGGTGTTTTCTATCCTTAAGTTTAAACGGAACTGGTTTACGTCTTTGTTTCCGAAACAAGGAATGTGCAGGTGGTGAGGTAGGATGTCGGTAGCCAATTTGAAGCTAGCCATCAGTGGACCACACCCAGGTCGTAAAGAGGATGGTCCAGTCTTATCAACTCGGGCTATTTGAACGGTTTTCACACGGACTATGTTGTTGATGACACCCTGTGTTGCAAGCAGACGCATGCTTTCCGTATACCTGACCGTCTAGAATTTTCGAGTACCATCAGCTTTATTCAAAATAGTGTCTGAATTATCAGCAATATCATTTATCCGTTCTTGGATCTTCATGGGACATGATCAGGTCAAGTTACGAAACCGTGTAGAAGCAGCGGTCACCAACTGTTTGTTTTGGCTTTGGCGAGTTCATGGGTTCCCAATGGTAAGAGTTTCCACCCTACAATAGTAACAACGGCAAATTAAGTGCACAGTGCTTCAAGCCACTATGGTCCAAGCCGTTAGTCAACAATAGCACTTAAATCTATGGGAAGCCGTACACCTTAATGTCCGCACGTTCCGACAAGCTGGACAATAGTTAGCTTAGACTCAGTCCATGGGTTTGGTGTCTGTTGCCTGCCAGGAGTCCACTTGTACGATCCCAGCTCCGTCAAACAACTGGACTTTACGTCAAGCAATGCTTACGCTCAACAGCCTGACTCAGCAGCTCGTGTTGGAATGACTTCCACTGGGGTCCCGATGATCGACTAACTAACACTGGGAGTGCTGGGTGACAGAAGTTTGGCTGCATTTGATAGAGCGTTTGGACCCCCTAGCACCGAGCAGCATCCTCATATGAGGAACCTAATCTGATTCACGAAAACACTCATTTGCAAGACAGCTTGGTTACAACGGAAACTCAGTTAAGTCTCAGATGAATCTCCTGTTTATAGTATTCATCAACTTGGACAATTTTCGAGATATTTCAATATACTGATTAGACAGATTACGGCCGTTGAAAAGTTTGCAGTGACCTAACGAGTGGCGCTCTGTCTCCCGCATACAGACACACGGTAATTTAACTAACTTAAAGAAAACGCCACACGACGGATAACAGGAAATTAAGTGCCTAAGATTTGAATCAGGGATATTTTAGGAGCGGAGTGAAAACCTCACGCAATGTATTTTTGTGGGAAAAATTAATGCGTATAGCTCAACTAGCTGTGTAGGCTGGGCTGAAGTAACAATTCGACAAATCAAAGCAAAACTAAGGGTGGATATGAAGACAAAATTATCGATCGCCTGTGCGATATCACGAACTGAAGGAAGTGAGTATGGGGGTAGGGATAACTAGCCAGGGAAGAGATAAAAGACCCACTTGATAACACCATCGTCCCTTCAGGTAGTGAGTTTCGGGATCTTCCGGATTCAGTTCAATGGCCTTGTCCACTAAGTCCTATAAAAAATAAGGCCAAGTAAATTTTCCAGTAAAAGTGGAACATTCGGGGTTGATTCGCATTATCTTCAGGGCTTGAATTGATTAAGGAAGTAAAACTAAAATATCAAACGCGAATAGCATCCTTTATTTGGGAGATATAATCTTTGGAAAGAAAGCCTGATGCATAGGAATTGAGCGATGTAATCCCACTGTGGTACCCTTTTGCCATACACCTGCTACGCATATCGGAAGAGGCATGAAGACTGAGATACTGCCAAAAGCAGTCGAAAGGCTAAAGGTAGGCTGAAAAAGGGACACAGTAGGTACACCATTATTTTTTTATACACATGAGACCTTTCGCACTTCTCAAAACTGGAGAGAGTATGTCTAAGTCTAGGTAGCTATTGAACGTATCTGTTGAAAGTACATGAACGGGACCGTGGGAACATCAAACAAAATCCCACTGGGGTGTAAAATGTCACTATGACTAACACAAGTTAAGGTGACATTCCGGTCGGAGTATGACCCCACGAGTTGTGCGCAGATATGGATTCGATTCGAACCCATGATAATCACGGGGAAATGTTTAGGGAAGGACTCAATTTCAACATAGGCGTCAGCCACGTTCAGTAATCACATGAAAGTATCCTTCGCTGGAACTAGACGGTGATGAAAATTTGAACGCAATCCACCTACAGGATAAATGCAAATGGAAGTGGAATAAGCAAGAGTACGGCCTGCGAAGTACGGACAGCGCAATGTCTTACCCAAAAGGACTATTGGAAGAGTTTTCACTGGAAGAGGCATCTGCTGTTCTGTGGAACTTAGAGGGCAATTTTGACGAAAACAACTAAGTTAGGTAGTACACTTACAGGTGGTGAGCAGCAAAAGTTAACTACTATCGGCAGATAAAATGTGGGTGTGGTTTTTGAATACGGTAACACATCCAAACACACCGACTATTTTATAAAACCGCGGTTAAAGTACCACAACATTCATTTGTTGTGTTGGACCAGTGGATAGCCATGGTGAAATTAACGTATGGAATAGCCATAGCTTTCATATTATCGAGGAACTACGGGCGAAAAATCAAACGGAAAAACAGGAAGTAGATGAATGACCTGGCGGACACGATATCCAAACAGCATGCTTCAATAGTCAGGAGTAATCGACAGTTTACTTACTACTAACTCAGTTCTGAGCCCAACACTTTTTGACCGTAACACGTCGCACCCCCAAAGTGTTTGACGTGATGGTCCTACGGGTTTGTGCAATGGATGACCGAAGTCTGCACGTATTTGGTAGTTGTGCGAATGTAGGTAGGCACATGTCAAGTTCTAAGACCCCATGTCGAGAGCGGAAGTGAAACGTAAAAGACAATGGGTAGCCGTAATTGTGCGCATCACAGGAGTCAACTAGCTTATGCGATTGAACGCCTCTACATCGAACATACGACAATGGTAACCGATAGTGGATATATCGGAAAATCCCCGTCAAGTTCCCAACAGGATTAGTTGCCGGATTTCTGATAGCAAAAGCTAGGGAAAGTGTGTCACGACATCACCAGTTGAACTGTATTTCATATCTACATCACATATCCATCATATTCAGATACATTCCTTAAAAAGTGCCGGGTCGGTTGGTCTAGTTATTTACACCTGTAAGGGGTGTTTTTAATCGTGATAGTTCACCTCATGGCCTTTCTTAGAGGGACAAAAATCACTTATAATGAAAAAAATAGCCGAAGTCCAGTGAGAGTGAAGATAGGTAACTGTATTAAAAACTGACAGAAAACACTAATGAATCCTCTTCGAGAAAGCCTACTGTTTGAACGGGAGTACTGTTGAACCAACCTTAAATTCGAAACCATAACTGATCCGTTGCTGTATCCCACAAAAGTCACAAGCGAGGCCCACAAATACGGCAAGCCACTTGTACATTTCGGCTGTGGATTTGGATCCTAGCATCAGATCAGTTTGACTCTCTGCGCGTCTGGCTAGAACCAAGGCTCGGCGGGCAGTAGCCAAACCGCGTTCGATAAATTGACGTCGACTGTTCAACTCGTAAGCTAAGTCATTCGAACTCCGAGGGTCAAGTAACTGGGAGGAAACAGAGGCGACTTCACTAGTAACTTCGGAATCGCGAAAAGTAGCTGTGGGATCATCGTCGTCAGCGACAGCATCTTGACTGGCAAGATAGATTGCCCGGGCAAACCGCCACAGGAATTCCGGGGTCCGACGGTACTGTATGAAAACGAACATGAAAGAAACTCAGATTCCGAAAGCTGTAACCAAACTAAAGTATAACTAACACGCTAGCAGATGGTGATGCAGCTTAGATAGTGAATTCACAGATTCATAAAGTCAAACTTCAGTGGTACATCTTCCCGGTAAAATTTTGCTAAACTAATCTGTAAAGAACGGAAACCACCAAGATGAGGTTGATACGTTACAGGCCAGTAGGTTCGTTTAAAGCCTCGATAATTATGGGTGAGAGACAAGTTCTGCGGGGATGAAATACTTTTTGCAATACGGACACTATGAACTACAAATATTGGGATCTTCGCTTGAAACATGTAAAAAAAACAACTTACTGTGTTCTTATATACCAAACACCTGGCATAGGCTTGAGAACCAAGATGGGAAGCGTCACCTGCAGCGCTAATTTCTGGAGTCGATGAGAGTGATGGGCAAATACCCATGGCCGATTCTGCCACCCGATCAAGTTCATCTATCAATTCTGAAGGAAGAGGGGGACCCAAGCGGAAGCGGGAAGAAGACTTGGAGCTGCTCATACTGGCTGCTGAGTAGTATTTTGTAATGCAACTGGTCGCATCTTCTTCGGCGCACATCTCGGGACTAGAAAGTACGGTCAAAACGAGAGCACTTACCAAGGAACTTGCCATTAACCCTAATCGAAACAAATCGGTAAAGAATATCAGGTGTGGTTAAATTTCCCTTTAAAATTACAAATCGAAAGTTCGATTGGATTAAGGCTTAGATCCGACCAAGAAGTTCGTGACTAAAGTCTCCTTGGTACTTCTGAAAAGATTTCAACCTCATTTATCCTGTGGATGCAAGGAAGCCCCGACTTTTCTGACAAGTATGCAATGCCAAACCGAGACAGCCTCAAGACGCGGACAACAGTTGCACAGGATGCGCTGATAATGCCATAAATAATAAATACCAAATAAATGACCCGAAAAAGCTCACAGCTACAAGTGGAATCTAACATTCGACAGACTGGGTGGTAGAAATCTGGCCGATTCACCTATTCCGAACAGGTACAACTTTGCATGAACGAGCAAGCCAAATGAAAAAACACGGCGCAGTATATTTTGTTTCATAACCACGGACGGTGGTAGGTAATCTGCGAGGCAATTGGTAGCTCAGCATCTACTACAAGCTCACAAAAACATACTAGTGAATGGGTGGGGAAATAGCTGATTAAAGAAAAGCGCGATCGGCCCAGAAAGCGCAAGCAATACTAGAAAAGCTGACCGAAGTAATCCCGGCCTTCGGCATGTGGTTTGCGTCTACAAAGGGCAAATTCACACTACAGGACATAGGGCTTTCAATATGCTTCTGAGAGTTCACGAAATGCCAAAGGAAGTTGGGGAATGCTGCAAGTGGCTCGCAAGTTGCGTTGGCTCTTATGGTAGTGTGACAGACAAAGTGAGTGCACGAATCTCAAATGCTGGAGCTGTGTTTGCCAATTTGTGCCACTTTGGCGGCAAAAACGCAAATCGCTTGGTTGCAAAGGACGCATATGTCAGACTACAGTGTAGGCCGTATTGTTGTACAGCTGTGAAACTTGGCTACTTCGGGCAGAGGATCTGAGACATCCTTAGGTATTCGACCACCGATGTTTCAGAACTATGGGTGGAATCGGTTGGAAATAGCGAATTCAGACTGAGAATATCGGCAGGTGTCTCTAGCAGAGTAGACGGGGCTTTATTCAAAGAATGCACCAGCATTGACAACTAACGTGGCCGGGCTATGTCACGCATGTCAAATTACGGCCTGGCGAGATGAGCGCTGATTTTCGTGTCTAATTCGGAGTGGTAGAAACCTAGGGATGGAGAGAACTTGACACGGCAAATGGGAATGATGGATGTTACGAAACGTTCCGGTGCCGTTTGTGCTGTTCACCTTTCAGGATGGGGTGCACTTTACGCGTCTTTTTGCTTTTTTTCTTAGAGGTATGAATTTGTGGAACCGAAGCACATACCGAATGACTGGATGATCTCGATAAGCTTTCATAGTATTGCTTCTGATTCTATATCTTCTTCAAAGATGTGAACAATGTTGCCTGTATATTCCAGGTCTACCGTTCTGGCTCGGAGATATCTAAAGACCGGGGCTTCGGAGAACTTCCAGAGTTTACCTCATTTGTTCAGCATGGACGAACCTAAACAAAAATGGAGAGAGTGGGAATCCTTGTGGAATGCCACTGCTTGCTGGAAAGCTTTTAAAGGGCTTCCTATATACTCACCCACCCACAAGTATTTTAAACGAACAGCGTGCGATATTCATGAACTTCTGTAGCACACCTTGTCAAGAGAAACTAACCGGTTGGCAAAATCGGACGGACTCCTGTAGTTAAGGAATGTCAAGATTATAGGGATCCTGTATAAATACTGTTGCTCTAATAAGTGGAGTGCGAAGAGGTCCACACTCCTCCCGCTTGTGGTTCCTGGATCCCGTGTTCACGCGTCTTCTTAAGGCGACATGAAGTAAGCGACGCAACGTGTAACAGGCGCATTCCTCTGCGAGTATCACTGACCGCGAGCAACCTTTTTGAAAACGGGTACTAATATCGTCTCTTCCCACTTGTTTTGGATGGTCCTTTTGGCCCAGACACAAAAATGAAATATCCACTGGACATTACCACATCTTCTCACATCAGAGGAAGAATAATTTCACAAGATGAGTGAAACTTCTTTCTGAGAAGTCATCACTCGAAAAGCCAGTCAATGTGACCGCGTGATGTGATTTCAATGATTGAAGGATGAGCGGCGCTATGCCCTGTATAAGTGAGAGCTACTCACACTGCTGTTCAGCCATTAGTAGCCAAAGGACTAAGTGTTCGAGCACCGGCTGCACAGTACTCCTCAGCTTTTCCGCATCGACTGGCCTCAGCGATAAGAAGAAACCACCTAATCTTCTTACATCACCATCAATCGAGAAACATATAAGTTGGACAAGCAATGATCGAGAATTTCAGCTCCGGCTTCAAACAGGGCGGGTGGTAGTTCACCAGCACCAGTAGTATGGTGATGCTTGAGAGAGAAAAGGCATTCGTTTATCCGTGAAATTGTCGGAGATCCAAGGTTATTGCCAGGACTTCGTTGCGGGTCGGGAACTCGGCTGATCAACCGTAAGGGGCCAGCTGAATTGTTGTTGAGTGTTCAACATAACGATTTAAGCGTGCTTCTTCTTCTAAAGATATGTCAGCCGATTTTATCAGGAAATGGTTCGCTCACTCGAGGCCCCTTTGGGTCTGTTGCGCGTGTCGGATGGAACAGTTTACGCACGTACCTGGAGTTTCTCGACCTTTCCATCTCTTCAGCTTTCCGGACTCATTAAACTTTTCCACCCGCGCAGATCCCCTTTATTCTCTGATGTCTAACAGTTCTTCGGGTTGTAGTGTACTTTCGACTAGAAGAAATGTGTCCAAGCTTCGAAAAAATTCATGGCGTTGATCGAGATCCAGTGCTTGTATCTAGTTAGATGCACCGTTCCACAAGCAGAGCGCCTAGCATTTAGTATGGTTGCGGACAGCACCCTCCACTAAGAGTTAACAGCAAAAGACATGCTATCCGAAATCGATCTCAACATCTGGTTTTGGTAGGTTTGCTTCACATCAGGGTCCGAGAACTTGTAAATGGCCAGGCGAGGAGTACAAACCTTGCGCGCCCCAGGAAGGCCCAACAAGAAGCAGCAACGAACAAGCGCGTGATCCGATTCCACACTGGTGTTCCAAGGCGATCCGCATTCAGCAGCTGACCCACGCCACCTACAGCTTATGGTGACATAGTTTACCTGTGTTGGAGCTTGGCTCGCAAGCGGACGACACAATGTGGTGAAGTTGCTTCGGTTGTTTTGGAAGTTAATGCCACAAAAACTCTGTGGTCACTACAGCAGTTGCCTTGAGTTACGATTCCAATCATAGACGATCACCCAACTGAACCTCAGCAGCGCTAAGTTTAAGTACTTGTGCACTCATAGCCCCGGCAACCACGACAATATCCGAGCTCTTAGCCCGCCAAAAGGTGCCTAAAGTATTGTAAAAGTTGTCGTTGAGGGTATCACAGATATAGGCTATTGAGTCGTAGGAAAACAATGAAAAGACAACGATTAGCGGCGCGTTTACGGGACGCTCTCACGGACGTTGCAAAACGGCACCCAGAACTAGATGGGAGAACAATTATGGTTGCTGGCCGAATCCTTTGGCTCAAAAGTCTAACCACAAGGCAGAAATGGCTGGCGTAAGCCCGCCAGAACATCCTACATTTTTAATAAGCAAGTCCCACACATGTTCCAACCCCCAACCTGGGGGAGCGGGAGACTGTGTTAGTAAGACCACCACCCATTGGTCAACCTGGTATGACAGGCTCTGTGAGAGTCAAAAGTACATTCGCCAGTATGGGTTATGGAGTTGCACAAACCATCACACCGCCGTAGGGCACAGTCTGTTCGTGACGAAATGTGGTGGGATGTGGATCAGATGTGGATTCGGATTTTGGATGACCAATCATTTGAACGTAAAAGTACTGGATGAGCCTAACTACATAACACCGATAATGATGGTAAAATAGTTCACAATAACTCCAGAAAGCACATACTCACCCACTGTCTTGACTGCGAATATCAAAAAACTCATCATCATCATCGGAAAGATAGAATGGCAGGATTTCTTCCTGGGTAGAAAATGGGAAAAGACTATGAGGGCAATAAGGGAGGAAACGAAATCCGAATACTTTAATGGGGATGATAATTTTTTATGGAAGCCTGGATTGAGGTCCTAAATCATTTAATCCAACTAGTTGTGACGGACTACAAGACATGTTCGAAATCTGCGAGGCAAGGTGTCATGATTATATCAACGCAGTTTAACTGGTAGGGAACGACGGGCCACATAAATTGGTTCCTGTTTACACTGTTTGGCTAGCCGACGATGGGGGAAAACCAGAGCAGATCGTGTACCACGACCCGAAGGATTGGAGGGGCTCTTTCAGACCGTCCGAAACGGGGTGAATTAGTTGTAAATTGAACAACAGCGTAAACGGTGGCAATCCCAACCGAGAAGGTAGCTAACGCCAAATGACAGAAAAAAGGCTGGCGTCGACTAGCGCTGGTAAAAGTTAAAACCTAAAAAGTCCAGGCACAGGAGGTCTTACGCCATCAGCAGGGATAGGGGTCCGTCAGGTGGGTTGTCGGTTGGAAGTTACAAGCCAGAACTCGACACCACGCGTTCGTCAACCAATCGTGTGATCCTTACTAGGTCCTCCGTCAATGTACGTGACTAGCTACGGTAAGCAGTCGGAATTCCAAGTAGAATCCACATCGCATGACTACGTTGTCACCTGGTTAGGACCATTACCATGGAAAGAACCCGACACATTACAGTAAGGATGTAAAATAAAGCAAACACGTACCGGAGAGATTTCATTATTGTGTCGATAAGAGTGCAACATTGACCGCATTTCTGATAACTCCGTTTTGACCGCATTTAGTTCAGCCAGCAGATTATCTAGTCTGGTTGCGTCGGAGTGGCGGCGATACCGATTAGAAATAGCATGCCAGACGGCAGTAACGGCCAGACCGACGCCCAATCCGACGGAGGTACCAATTACAGCAGACAAGAATGTGCGCTTGGTGTTACTGCTACCAGTATGAGTCATTATTGCTAAATATAAGGAAAACAAATAATTGGTGAGATTTTATGCCTCGTTATGAGTCACAAAAACCATATTTCCATCTGACCATGGCAAAAATAGAGGATATTCACGAAGCCATGATTAACAATTAAGTGATCTTTTTACGTCAAAATACCCGTTTACTGAGTTTTCCAGTCAAGTTTTACGTCAAAAACTGGTGCCTACGGATGGGTAGGAAAGTTCATTCGCTTAGGTGTTCTTCTGTTATACGAAACAGGTAGCCTAACAGGCGTGGACTAGTGCGACGAGCTCAGCTATTGTGGGCGACTGGCTGTCCAAAAACCAGGTGCTGTATTTCAACATCGCTATTCTGACACCGACAAACATCGACATGCGTTTTCCGCGCTATAAGACCACAGTATAGAATACACTGTTGCAATGAGCAGTCTTGTTTCACGCCGTCATCACAGGCGTCGGAGACTGTATCACCTTCCAGGATCACATTTGTATTTTTTCACTGGCCAAAGTAACCGTGACAGATCTCGATCAATTTTTTTAACCTCAGAGCTACCGTCAGTTGGAGCGTATGCTGACACAACAAACAAACACCATTTTCCATGTCGGATACAAACAAACAACGCACATGCGACTGTTTACTAGAATTCAGTCCAGCGAGGGGCATTCAACTCTGGAAATAAGCACAACTCCCACGCAGCAGACACCACAGGCCACTGCATCCGGATTTCCGGGTACCAGAAGAATCTGGATCCCCACCGAACGGTTTGAGACGTGTGGCCAAACAGATTTTGTACGCATGTTCCGGGGACACAAGATATGTCAACCGAAAAAGAAAGCAAGATTTGAGCAAGTGGTGCCTGTTGCACAATTTGATTCAAAGTAAGGAGGTTAAAAGCTCAGATGGGGGCTTATTTCTGTTTGTTTTACTGAAAAGAATCTTAGACATGGAGCAACGGTTAGACAATCAACAAATAAATAAGTCAGGACTTGGATGAGGGACGTGAGGCAACTAAGTGAATGAAGGCCTGTGCTTGGTGCAAAGTCAAATATCTTTAAGGAACTGAAAGTTTAAAAGCGCCTGAGCATAAGACATGGAGCAACGGTTAGACAATCAACAACTATATAAGTCAGGACTTGGATGAGGGACGTAAGGCAACTCAGTGAACGAAGGCCTGTGCTTGGTGCAAAGTCGAATATCCTTGAGGAACTGAAAGTTTAAAAGCGTCTGAGCATACAGTTGAAGTGAGGTGCTATCATCAGGATCGACCCAGCGTTCTTTGCGAACCTCACCCGAAGTAAGCCCAGCGCACAATAACAGGCGAACTGTAGCCAGGAAGTCCGCCTGGGAACTGATGGAATGCCCACCACCCAGATTAGATGCGCGTCATTTCTTGAGGGGACTCAAATTATCTGAAAGTAAGACCACATGGGTCCAGGCCAGGAAGATAAGGGGATCCGCAAAACCCAGTTTGAGTGTAGCTGTATTCCTTTTACTTTAGACCATGGGAGTGAGTTCAACTCCTAACATCACCAAAAACAGTGCAGTGATAAACAGATATTCGAAGCGCGTAACACCTAAACTCGTCCTTGGTGGCTTGAGGTCCGCAACCGGTATGCTGTAGGCATGTTTCGGAAAGGGAACATAGATAGTCATTAAGAGAAAGGACGATTCCCACGAGAGATTTTGTTGTCCAATTTGACACAGTACGGGCAGGAAGTGCTGCCAACTGGATCAGACATTTTGAGTTCAGTAATTACTAAAATGGTCCCTTATGGGATCATTTTGATTTACCTGGTAGGTCAACAGTTCGGACGCGGAAAAATGGTTAGGAAACTGGTAAACTGACCGCGGCGTATAATTCGATAGCTGGGGAGAAGATGGAGGTCATGGCCGGTATACCGGCGCAAGAGGTAGATCGCCCCTTGTTGAGCGAGCTTCTGCGCCGAACATCCATTACTGCTGGTAGGTACGGCTGCAACGGCCGTGAAGCCTACCCGGACGCGATTGGCCAGGATACTGGACCGCTCACCGGCCCAGCATTTGTTTGAGTTTTGATTGGCCGGGAGCCTGGACCAACCATCCAAATGTGATCCAGCAGCTGCCGATCGCCGTCTGACGTCGTAGCAGCTAAAAGACATCACAACTTCCAGGTTGTTGTCGCCGCATACACGTTATACATGACGCTTTGTATCAGTGTTTCTGACCTGGCTTTGGGCATTAATACACGCTCTTCACCACTGGTGGTTGTTTTGACGAGAAAGCCCAGAGAATAATTGCATCAGCAACAAAAGCAGTTTGCGGAGGAACTCCCTGAGTCACTTGATCAAAGACTGCATATCCAAACACAAACAGTCATCGGTGAGTCTTCTATTTCATCGGCTGATGGAGCCGCACCACGGAGTTTCCACCAAACCATCTTCCCGACCACGCTCTTGACTCTTGCTTCAAGCGGTACGAAGACATGCTTCATCGCACATTAATAGATCTCCCCGGACAATCCGAGCTACCGCTGCCCATGTAATCGCACACACACTCCGGTCGCCTCAAACATGGCGTACGTTATGGGGCGGTCCAGAAACAGAAGTACGTCAGTCAACGATTGCTCCGCATTATCATACCTAAGCTGATGGCCTGCCTACAACCACTCCTTTAGTACTCTTGATTGTGCCCTCTCACTCAATAGTTTCTTCACCTGCAACTGTGAATAAATACTTAATCTGACCCAAACCACCCCCTGGACGTACTCATTCTAATCTGTTGAACGTTCTGTTGGGCTCCAACAACCTCAGTAGACATCAAGTTTGCAATCCCCACAAATTCGCTCAATGTCTGTTCGATTCGCGTTCTGTCTCTTGCGGTCAAACAAACTCATCTCCCGACGGACATTTTACAACCGACTCTACTCCAACAGCGACGCCGGTTATACTATAAAGATTCAACGCGCAACGTGACTGTGATATTCAGACTGACAGATACAGGTGTTGCAAATTTCTTCACTACGTCATTTCTCATTTCAAGTTGTGCAACGCTGGCCAAGGCCGCGTGGCCTCAGCGCTGCTCGCTAGAAGTGAAACGGAATTATTTACGCCGAAGCTGAAGAGTCTCCGAAGTTGCATATTTTATGGCCAGGGCTAGCATGACATTGCCCTGTTCGTAGCATATAACCTGGGTAATATTCCTATGAATTCAAATATTCGCTGATAGCGGAGCAAAGATTACTATCAGGGACTCACTTATCACACAACTTAGAAAGCCTATGGGGTCACTCACTTTGCAAAGCCATCACGCTTTCCTTCAGACTGCAACTGCACCATTCTGAGGTCACTTCGACCTACAAACAGGCAACATCAACATGTGTCTGATATTTCCACCGTTTTTTCCATGTACGCTCCAAGCTACCTCAATAGCTACCGATTTAGTTATTGCACGTTCCTTATAATAACACATGTTCATATTCGATTGCATCAACCGCATATCACTTACCTACACCCAAATATCGATGACCGTTTTAAAATACAGCACTGTCGCCTCACCGCAATAGTTAAAATTCGTGACCACTCTTGTTGCCTGCCGTTTCGGCCCGTGGCCTAACTCATGAACTGGTGCCGTCCAGCAGACACTGACACTTTCATGTTTTTGCTCCTTAATGTGGACACTGCCGGTTTATTTCCTCGTTTGCATAGCAGCACTGGATCACCATGCGTCCTCGATGGATCCAATAACATTTTGATTCATGACGGTCTTCATGTGTTATAATTTCCTGTCCACTCCTAACCGTAATGGCAGATCCGACTACCCAAGATGTTTCTGTACGGAGCTGCAGTGAACCTAAATACGACATCCGGTTGCCGGAAACACAAATGCCATACCCAGTCTGACGGCTTGTACGTAATTTACCACCCCTCTAATATTTCCTGACCTAGCGTGTTACACACGTCACAGTCTGTTGAATTTGGGCCAGAACTTCAAAGCACTGGCCACCTTATTGCATTGTCCACTTTTTCTGACCACAAAACCACTAACGTTCCAATAGAATTATCATGGGCCAGTATGACAGTGAAGACGAGACCTTGCCGTGCAACTGTCATAAAAAACAAAAAAACTTGCCAGCCGTGAAGAATTCCTTGGCTTTTTCTGGTTTGGCGTACACTGCAACCATAGAAAACATTTCCTTATATAGGGCGCGAACGGCCACTTCCCTTTTAGTTGGTGCGGACAATGAGAGCGCTATTGCTTTTCATGTGTTCTTAAGATTATTAAAAAAAATCCAGTACAGGAAAAAACACGTAAAGCACCCAACCTCTCCGCAAAATATCTCAACATCTTCAGGAAGACCTTATGTTCATCCGTCAGCCGGCATTTTTATTAAGAAGTCCATACACATGGCAGACTTTGAGTACTTTCAATCGACTTCCAGCAAATCTGCGGCTGCGTAAAAAGATTTGGGCGTTCGAATGGATTTCACCAAATGCTAAATCTTCATGGTAAATTTTCCCTCGTCCAAACCACTGTTTAGGAGAAAGTTGTGCTGTATACCTGAAGATGAGCAGCCTCAGCAATGGTCTTGATTTTTAGTTCAAATCGACTGACAGGATCAATGCAACACAACCGATTCACCGGGTCCGTTGCAGTTTTCGTCAAACGACAGGTGAGATGCCTCAGCTTTGCCTTTCGCGGTTGTGTTCTTTCCGTCGTTTCCAACTTGTAGCCTTTTAAGCTTGCTTAAGCTTGAAATATTCCCCAAACGATTGGAAAATAACCCCAGCAAGTGTGTTTCTGTCCCCTCAATGTCCACCGCACTTTGATAATGCTAGTTCAGACTCGACCACTTTTACTTCGGATCATGCCCACTATCTGTGAGCTTGCCTCATTTTAGCGCAAACCCGAGTGTCTACAAACCCCTTCGGTCATGCCTGTTTTCTACCTACCAACATGATCATACGTATGGCATGCGACACACAAGCTGGGGATGCACATTATTAGCATTACTACCGCATCTTCCAAGGTATGTGCAACAAGCACGATCCACGTGTGTCCTTTAGACACACTCTTTTTGTTTGGGGGCATTAGAACTCGTATTCAATAGTGGCGACCGCATTCACGATCACACTGTAAACTTTTGGTGGAGGCGAGCTGGTGGACAGCAGTTCTGCATTTCCAATAAATAGGTTAACCATAAATGCCGTTTCCAAGACTGTCTCATTTAGTAAAGGTGTCGAGGCTAGTTTCACAGTGCCTGGGTGACCGTGGGTTGCAGACTTTTGCACCTGATTGTTATGTTCAGGTCGGCGTTTGTGACGTTGTCGCTGGGTTCATCTGTCTGCTCCTGCGCGGCTGACCTGGACCACCTTAAATCTTGTGTTTTGGGTCCACTGCTGCATATTTTTTGTTGGTTTTGAGAATACGTAAAGAGAACTGTACATAAGTTGGTTGTTCCTAGCCCACTGAGTCTACACCAGTGTCCGTCATGCCTGCACCCATGACCGGTCGATAAGTGTAGTCTCAACAGCGTAAAGACTCGCGCCCATTGTGGGGTTAGCCAGGGGTTTAGAGTCGGCATTCTACTGTTGAGGCTAGACGTATTTAGCGCATACCTTCCAAAACCGAATTAATCCAGATTTCGCGCCTGCGGAAGACGGCCGTTATATATACAGTTGTGCATCTGGAAGATATTTTGAGTACCCTGAGGCCGCAGATGGTTCCTCCACACGACAGATAAAAGGAATGAGGGGGAAAGTCAAATGCTTAATCGGTTTCCTTCTATCGCGAACACTGTGCACAAACATATTTTAATGAAGTTGCTGAAAAGAGTCCCCATGGGTTATTCCGTCGGTATTGTTGCTGGGATTGTCTCGGATAACAAGTCCTAGATGATCAACCTTGTACCGGTGACACCGTGACCTCCTTTCCTGCGGCAACGATGAGCTGGTTTACTGTTTTGCCAGCTAACCGATCCCGAAGGAACTTGCAGGACGCTCGGGCAGTATGGAATTTTCGCAGTCGTTATCTGTACTGCTTGCATCTTTCTTTGAGTTTGAGTCAGCATACGTATTGTCTACGAACCCTTCGATTTAACATGGGACTGCATTATTTTTTCCGACCCAGAGGTGAAATTTTTTGCACTGCTCACAAGTGCCCTGTTATACGTAGAACATAAAACGCCCCGACAATATAGGCGGATGACGATAACCAAGAGGTCTCGAAAACCGGGCGACGTGACTATCTGGTTACCCTTTGAAACCGGCAGACATATAACTCTACCAATCCACGCAAGCATGACAGCACATTTCGCACTTTTCTTTCACTGGACCCACCTTTCCAACATTGTCTGGCTCACCGAAATCCTTAGCGAAGAACGTTCAGGTAAAATTAGATTATTGCAACTATTACCTGACTACGCAGTGAAAAATATTTTGTTCTGTATTTGGCATATTTGTATGTAAGATATTTGAACCAAATGATACGCCCTACCAGGTAGACTGGTTAGTCCTCAAACGAGTTCACAGAAGAGTTTTCATAAAATACGAAGCCAATTCTTTTGGTTTATAGCGTATATGCCTCCGTTGCAAACCACTGTTTCTAGTTCTGTTTCTACTATTTCTGAAACTGGTTTCTGTTGTTTTCACGTGCGTTATTTTTCTCTTTTTTTGTTCTCGTATATACCGTTCAAACTGCCACCCGTATGTTGCGGATTTCGATGCATGTGCAGGAAGAAAACGCTGAAAATCTGCCTACATGACCCGCACAGTTTGAACTCTTGCTCAGCCCTCTGGGTATAAATACCGTTCACCCATTCTTTTCACTACAATGTTTGCCGATTTTGTAGTCGGTGGAGGGTTTTTTGATTATGAATACAGAATCCAGCTACTGTGTTTGCCCGAAGTTCGGTAATGACGTGACTAAATGCACAAATTTTGACGGCTGCTCAAACTTTTAATACGGGAAACGCTATGACAGCCCCTGTAGTCGGTTCATTGCATCTTCGGAGCCGCTTTGACGCCCCTCGCATGGTGAAAATCGCCGCCGGTTGTCCTTGACTTTGCTTATCCACAGATTATATGTATCCGGCTTCTCAAATTAAATCCCGCCTGGTAATGCACCATATTCTACTGCCCGCACAAGGTTACGACGTCCCCAA